GTACTCAACCTTGGTTGTATGACCTTCCTTGCATGTCCTTTATAAGTCTCAGCCCATCGGAGACCTCTCTGGACAGTCACATTGACTTTCTTAGATGTCACCCGCTTTTCTTTAATATTGGGATAGTCTGAAACATGGATGTGGTTCCCAGGAAGTCTCCCATACCTGCTTAGCAAAGGAGTGACCTCACATCCTTCAGATCATACCCTGGGATTTGCCCCCTTACTTTAGTTCTCCTCCTCATTCTGGTACCATTTCAGGAGTGCACCTGAAGGCAGGCATTGGAGATACAGCTTAAGGTTCACCATATAGCTCTCAAAGCTTTTCAAGGCCATGCTGAACCCATACAAAAAGACGAGCACTGAGATTGGCAAGGATGCTGGGCATGTAGTCATCTCTCATCACCCTGGAAGAGCCTGTTGTTTTTTTAACAAATCACTCTCACTCCTCTGCCCTTTCAGGATATTGTGTACATATCTATTTATTTCTAACAACGTTTGAGGTGCAAAAGCCTTTGCCGTACAGATTTAACTCGGTTTGCTGAGCTGAGGCAGAAGCAATTTACAGCCTGCTTATCTAAACATTTCAGAGTTTGCTTTGTCATGCTACAGGATACAGCACAGTAGCCAGGCAAACTGTAATTCATCTGAAAGCGATGGTTTTGTGTGTTTGCTGTGACACCCGTGCCCGCATCCCAAAGAGCTAAACAAACATGCCTAGAATAAGTTCTTCCTATATTAAACAGTGACCAATTGTCTAAAAAAAAAGGGGGGGAGCCCATTAAAAAGTAAACTGCAGTAATGGATATGTTGTTTTGTGCTTCGCTATACCTGTTAGAGAAAGATAAGTCAAAGTATTTTGGGGGGGAAAACACCTAGTTTCAGAGCTCTGATGAATTAATATGAACTTCAGAGAAAGTCATCTATTTTTTTCACCACAAGATATTTCCTAGGTTAGAGTTATAGCTGTTGTCACTATATTACTAGGAAAATTTCTGAGAGTGGTTCATCCATTCACTCCTCCTCCTCCTCCTCCTTCTCAATTGTGTATCAAAGCTGCAAATGTAGCTGTGATAATAAAAAATGCAGGCAAGTAAAACATTATTGTGTTGCCACCCTTTGTACTTCCATTTGCAGGGGTGCAAAGGGGTGTATAGGATTATGCAAGGTATGTGAATAGAGAAAGGTTTTTCTCCTGTCCTAACACCAGAACACAGGGAAATGCAACAAAGATGAATGTTGGAAGATTCAGGAGAGGTAAAAAAAAAAATGTACTTCCTTACACAGTACATAGTTAAATGATGGCATTTGCTCCTACACGTGGTAGTGATGGCAAACAACTCAGATAAGATTAGACAAGTTAATGGAGGCTAAGGTTATCAGTGGTTCCTGGCCTGTTAGGTATACAGTGGTACCTCAGGTTAAGAACTTAATTCGTTCTGGAGGTCCGTTCTTAACCTGAAACTGTTCTTAACCTGAAGCACCACTTTAGCTAATGGGGCCTCCTGCTGCCACCACACCACCAGAGCACGATTTCTGTTCTCATCCTGGAGCATAGTTCTTGACCTGAGGTACTATTTATGGGTTAGCAGAGTGTGTAATCTGAAGTGTCTGTAATCCGAGGTACCACTGTAGTTGTTTGATTGTACACTGAAATGGTAAATAACTCTGTATGCATATTGCTAGAGGTGTAACATTGGAAAATTCCATTGAAGGAACAGCAGAGAGCCTAACAGGAGACAGTTAACTTAGAATGTATCACTGCTAGCTCTCATGAGGTATTTAACTTAGATCACATGGGCCATTCTGTTGCAAATATCCATTTTGCGTGAGGTGGTCTTTGTTCTCCCTCTAAAGCAGACGAAGAAAAAGGTGTGCAAATGATTCTCTCCAGGAACACAGCCTCCGGCTGTAATGGAGGCTTTCGGAGAGACCAGAGCTTTGTTTTCAGCCCCGGGTGAAGTAATTTAATATTTTTTAGATGCTTAACCTATGCTTGGACACGCATATGATATTATGCAACTATTTGGATATAACACTATAGTTTGAAGTGTCTGTTTTGGAACAAGTTCTGCGAGTAAAGCTTTTGAACCATATTTTTGGACTAGACCATTTTTATTTCAAGAAGAGTCCGTTTTTATTCAACCTATCGCTTCCAAATGTGCAATATTAATAACAGCAACATAGCCATTCTAGCTATGTTTTACCTACAATGCCAAAGATAGTGTATCCCTGGTTACCAATTGCTGAGAATTACAAGAAGGGAGAGCAAACTTGTTCTTTTGACCTACAGTTAGAATCCTACAATCATAGAGTTGGAAGGGACTGTTTACAAACTTCCTATAGAGACCACTTTGAGAACAGAATGTTGGACCAGACGGGCTCTTCTTACAGTATGTCCTTATATCTTACTGCTTGTTCTAATAACCTGATGTCTCTTTTATCTTTTCCTTTGTTGAGTGGGCTAGGATGACAAAAAATGGTCAGTACATTGTTGGACTATCTATTATTATTGTGATTTATATTTTTTTGAATATAATAATTCCTCGGAATTATTTTTTGAAAATAATAATTCCCTGGAGTTCATCATTCATTTCTCTTTAACACGTCCTTGAATTAAATTTTCTACCCCAATCATCAAAAAAGAAAACAGTACAGTGGTACCTCTGGATGCAAACGGGATCCGTTCCAGAGCCCCGTTCGCATCCTGAATAGAACGTAAGACGCGACTGCGCGTCTGCTTGTGCGCGGGTCACGTTTTGCCACTTCCGCGCATGCGTGTGATGTCATTTTGACCGTCTGCGCATGCGCGAGCGGTGAAACCTGGAAGTAACATGCTCCATTACTTCCAGGTTGCCGCGGAGCGTAACTTGAAAACGCTCAACCTGAAGCACATTTAACTCGAGGTATGACTGTAAATACTTTAGAGTCAAGAGGTGATATAACGTATCCCTCCGGAAATTCTGTCGAGAAAGGGAGAATGCTAGAAACCTAAGCATCCCATAACATATGGTTGGCAGTAATAATAGAATTGAATCATAACCTTTAAGGGAAGAAAACGAACATGATAATTCCTTTGATGATGGGGGTGAATGAAACCTTTTGGAATAAATAGTATGCAGTAACACAAACAATCTCCCAGCAGAGCTGTAAAGTTGATAATAAACAACTGACACTTTCAGGAAATGCTGTTCAATGTAAAACACCTCACCATTACTCTGCTTTCTCTCAGATTCATTGGTACATTAACTTAGAAGCTGGTGGATCAGCCACCTGAATTCAAATAACCATTTTTGTGGTGTGTGGCTGAAAAAGCACACCACATGGTGACTTTCCTCTGCAAATCTGGAAGGGCGAATGAGCCCTCCCTCCTCTTGGTTAGCACAGTTACTCAGTGCTTAATTTTGAAAATAAAAGGCTTGGGGGACGGTCAAGTCTGGGCAACATTTTGGGGGCCACATGTCAATGGAGGAAGGGCCAGAGGAAAAGTGGACACAATGACAAACGTAATTTTTTCACAGTAGGCTAGTTGCCACCCTGGGTTCCTTCGGAAGGAAGAAGGGGAGATCAATTGAATTAATAAGAAAAATTAGATATGTATGGACACACTGTGGTGGCCTGGGACTTGGGCTCGGACTCAGATCCAGAGGAGTCTCAGTCTGCACCGGATCCTTTGCCTCAGGCATCATCTGAACCAAGTCTGGGGCTTGATCCTGAAGACTCCCAGTCTGCACAGGTTCCCCTGCAACAAACACCAGCTGGGCCAAGTCAGGGGCCTGAGCCTGCCCTGGCTCCAGATGTGGGGATTACCTTGTTGCCTTCAGCTGCTCCACTACCGGTTGGGTCAGGGAGGCGGCCCCTGGGTCTAGTAACCTACCGACGTCTCCCGAACTGCAGAGACTAAGGTCTGAGAGGAGAGACCTGAGTACTCGCAGGAGGAGTGCTCGCCTTTGGGCGAAACAGGGAGGTGAGTCCAGGACTGGCCGCTACCCCGACAAAGATAAAAGGCTGTCGGACCCTGCCCCAGGTTGCGGGAGCAACATTGCTGTATGCTAGATCCTGCCTGAGATCTTGTACCTGTCCTTTCTGGTTTCCTGCCTCGTGTCCTGCCTTGGCCCTGTCGGACTGACTCCTAGCAGAACCTTCGGATTCTGGTCCGGTCCTGGACTGTGTTTCATGGTCCCAGCACACCTACCGTCGTTCTTCCAAGCAAAAAGTGTTATGAGAAGACGTAAAAAGGTGGGGGGAAAGTGACCAAGGGAGCAGTCCGGAAGGCCACTTAGAAAGATCTGGAGGATCCAGTTTGGACCCTGGACCTGAGATTTATCATCCCTGGCATTAAGAGATTAATGTGTGTAGATCCTGGTTCTTAAAACCCCTTGGAGAAAGTTTGTTTGTCTGTTTGTTTGCTTACAAATACAAATATTTCTGTGCCACCCTCTTGCAAAATATCAGCTTGATCTGGCCATGTGACTCAAAACGGAAATGTAAGATTTCCACTGATAGAAAATATATACCAGTATATATCAATAAGTTCCAAACAGGAGGTTCCTGATTTTACACTGTTAGATTCATTTAGAAAATAAATGATTAAATGTGCTTTATGTTACTAATTTTGCATGCCATGGTAGCGAAGTATGAAAGGGTTAAGCAAACAAGCTAATGCAACTTTTTGCAGCGTACTTAGCTTAATGTAATTGGGGAAAAAAATCAATGTACTTCAGTCTGTCAGTTAGCAATCTTGCATTTAATTGAATAATATGCCAAGTGTTTTTAATCTGTTTACCAATGTAAATGGAATAGCACAGTCTTGTAATTCTCACAAACAAGAACGCTTTTCCTGACTTTTAATAGGATTCAGATATGACCTTCATTTTAAGCTCCTTCTATATATAAAATGAAAATGCAATCATTGTCTCTGTTAATTGAGTCTAGTGTGGTCTTTCCTCAATTATGTTTCCTAATCCATGCATATATATATATATATATATATATATATATATATATATATATACACACACACACACACACACACACATATACATATATATATATATATGTGTGTGTATATATATATATATATATATATGTATATATATATATGTATATATGTATATATATACTAGCTATAATTCATTATTTCCATTGATAGTTTTGTTAGTGTGATGATTAATTAATTTTTAAAAACTGGATCTAAGCAGCAGAAGCAATTTTAGAATACCGCTGTAAACAAAGGAACAAGCCACATTGACACAAGGAGACTTCTGCATAAACACACATAAGATTTCGGTATAGATAACAATTTTGTGGTTGGTTGTGTGCAGAATCTGCTTACCCATTGCAATACTCCAGGAAGACTAAAGCAGAAAACCTCTGATATGTTTCATAGTTGAGAACTGCCCATCTAATAAAGCAATTTTCATGCTTATGTATCATATCTACTGCAGCTTTTAATTTTTTTTAAAAAGACATTTTAAAAATTAAATTTCAAGAAAAAAAGAGCAACTTCCGCATATACACTCCAACGCATATTTTTGTTTTCTCAATTTCCCATCCCATTTTCCATGGTGATTTTGTTTTCTGCACCTTTACTACACCCTGTCTTCTATGTCTTATGCCATAACAATATTACAGCAAATCCTAATTATTTCTGTTGCTCATACTTCAAATCCTGCTCATGAATTCATCAAATTCTAACATTTCTTTAAATAGTCTGAAAAAGGCTTCCATTCTCCCACAAAACTGTCATTGTTGGGTTCTATTGTTTTAGGTGTTAACTTTGCCATTTTTGCATAGTCTTACTTAACCATTCTGTAGGAATTTCTTCTTCCTTACATTTTTGAGCCTATAAAATCCTTGCTGCTGTAACGTACATAAACAATTTAATCCTATTTTTGGAGACTTCTCTCCTCATAATTCCTATAAGGAAAGCTTCAGGTGTTTGTTTGTTTGTTTGGTATAATCACTTTTATCAGAACGTCCTACTGCAGAGCTTATGTGATGCAATTGCTGTGAGCAGGTTAACTCAACGGTGTCTCTGAAAAATTTTACACATCACTTGGGAAAACAGGCGAACTAATATCAGTGTACTGGAAGAAGCAAAGATCACCAGTGTTGAAGCAATTATTCTTCAACATCAACTTTGTTGGAGTGGTCATGTTGTGTGGATGCCTGATGATGCTTTCTAAACCAGCCAGAAGGCTGCTAATCCCCATATTCTGAATCGAACCTTTATAGCAGGGGTGGGGAACCTGTGGAATATCCAACTGTTGCTGGACTCCCAACTCCCTTCAGACCCAACCAGAAGAGCCAGTGGTCAACTATGATGGGAGCTGGAGTCCAAGAAAACTGGGGGGGGGGGACAGGTGCCATAAGTTCCCTTTCTCAGAACTGTATCTAGGACATAGTACCTTCGAAATGGTTTTCAAAATGTGGCATTTAAGAACAACATTGGGGAGAGTGAGAAGCAGGGCTCCCTCCCTCAAAAAAACCACTGTTCCCGACCTCCACAAACACTGCAGAGGTGCTGAAATGCACCTAAAGGGTGCTGGGACTCAGTTCCAGATTTTTCACCCAATTAATTATTATATGGTGGGGTGCTGGTGGTGCAGGGACAGTGGTACAGCTTTGCCACTCTTGCTAGAAACCATCATGAAAAAACAGAAATTTGGGTCAACTGAACAATCATTTGATAGCTGGAAGTCTCAAATGGAAACCCTGAATAAAGCACAGTGACACTGATCAACCCCCTATTATATTCTTAACTAGCATTTAATTTGAATCCCGTGTCCTGATGTGCCCTTTCACAGACGGCGCCTTTTCTGCATTGCTCCGCTTCCATCCATCTTGCACTGCAGCTTGGCATTGCCGCCTGTCCTCTTCAATCTCTGCATTTCCCCCCTTTTATTCCCCCCCTCTCTCTCACCAAGGCCACTCCATTTACAAAACAGCAACAACCCCCAAACAGTTAGCAATTTTCATTCTGCGCCGTGTTTTCAATTTCTTCCAGTCTAGAGGCACCAACTTTGATTAGTGAACAAGTTTATTTCATGTTACAGGTAATTTATAAAGCTTTCAAGTAATATTGACCTCAATTGGCTTTCCCCTCTTTGTTTCTAAAGTTTGTTTTTGTTTGTTTAGGAGCCCGTGGCAAACACAATTCAAACGTTTTGGGATGCTGAGCCTGTCTACAGTGACATGTTTCCTGCTGCAGAATTTTTGTACCAACCAGCAAATACAGAAGCAGGACAAAGGGCTGATTGAATCTAGCATCCCATTTCCAAAAACCTCCAGCCAGGTGTGTTTGAAATATCCCTCCTCTGTTCCTAGGATTTGGTACTCTGACGTAGACTGCTTCTGGACATGAATGTTCTGTTTATCTACCATGGCTGGTTAAGTATTGATAGATGCATTCTTTGTGAATTTATTAGGTTTCTTCCAGCCATTGACATGGGAGCCTCTGCCAGTAACCTAACAGTGTGCAATCAAGTTACAGATATGGTTTCATCACCTGTTATCTGGAATGCACCACATTTTATGTCACATACTTCCAGCGCTAGGGGGTGACACAGCAGCTCATAGGACTGAGCAACAGAGTATCTAGCTACAGCCAGGGATGAGCGGATCTGTCAATTTCAGTTTCTCTCTGTTTCTCATTTTTCCAACCTTAAATTCAGGTCTCCAAGTCGGTTCGTGCTCTAAAAAAAATCTCATGAAAATTTTGCATTTTAGTGGAAATTTATAAAATACACATTTCTTGTATGCAATTTTGCCCAAAATACACATTTTGCAAGCAAATACCCCTAATATAATGCATTCTTGCATGGTTTTTATTTTTTTTGGAAAATATTGGAACATACATTTTTGTACACATTGGTTGGAGAGCCGCATTGCAAAATTCATAGTGGTGTGAATTAGGATGGCTGTGTTTTGCTTTGCATATTGTTATCAGGAAATGCAAACAATCTGGCTTTAAATGCAAACACAGCTGAATTTCTTGCTCATCTCTCACTACACCGCCTTAGGGTGACACTGACCAATAGGAGATTTTTTAGTTGGATTAGATTTGGGTTTGCAGAGGAGGGTCTGGAAACCAAGCTTTATGAGGAATGGTTGAGGGAGCTGGTTATGTTTAGCCTGGAAAAGAGGAGACTAAGAGTAGATATGATCTCCCCATCTTCTCCACCTTACCTTCAGATCTCTACCCGATGTATTGGAGCTACACACAGTCTATGCATATTATGATCATGGAATCGTTTGCAAATGCAACCGGCAAACTCTGACTCATTGGTGGGGTAGTGGAATATAGATTTAGCGCACGGGTGCCCCCTTTTCTACTCACTGCCCACCTGATTAATTTTAACACTTTTTCAAAGTTTGACGGGCGGAAATGAAATATTCTCTTTGTCTGAGTTTCTGTGAAGGTAACGATGCCTGCAAAAGACAACTGCAGTGCACTGAGTGACAGTGCAGGAAATGGATTTTCTTTCACAGTTCCATGATGCAGTTAGGACACCCAAACAGTCATGCTTACACCACAAGCCAACTTCTTCTTCCAGTTGCAGTTCTGACTTGAGGCTATAAAGTTGTGTTTGGGCTAAACCACTTCAGTTTCCAACTTGGGGGCTCCTAAGAGTTTTAATGCCTCTGTATACATGCCTTTCTGTTGCTAGAGGTGGTGGTGTCTAGAGTTTCCTCCCTAACATACAAACCTCAGAATAAGGCTTGTAAAGGTAAAGGGACCCCTGACCATTAGGTCCAGTCGTGGCCGACTCTGGGGTTCGGCGCTCATCTCGCTTTATTGGCCGAGGGAGCCGGCGTACAGCTTCCGGGTCATGTGGCCAGCAGGACTAAGCCGTTTCTGGCAAACCGGAGCAGCACATGGAAACACCGTTTGCCTTCTCGCCAGAGTGGTACCTATTTATCTACTTGCACTTTGATGTGCTTCCGAACTGCTAGGTTGGCAGGAGCAGGGACTGAGCAATGGGAGCTCACCCTGTCGCAGGGATTCGAACTGCCGACCTTCTGATCGGCAAGTCCTAGGCTCAGTGGTTTAACGTACAGCGCCACCCGCGTCCCAATAAGGCTTGAGTCACCCTTAATTATAGTTGTGCATGAAACTTTTCCCACATAGAAGCTACTGTCTTATTCAACAACTGGTGCAATGTTAGCTGAATATGAGGTACAGGAAACACAGATGCCACAGTTTTTGTTTTGTTTCAGCTTTTTCATATAGTACAAATGAAGCCCCACAACAAAGTGTTACAGAGCATTCCTGAAGTGCACGATCTGAACCTGTGGCTGAAAAAAAAAAAACCACTTCTTGATGTGCAATAATTAATTTTTGTTTGTTTGTTTGTTTCTGCAATCAGGGCTTTCATAAACTCTCTCAGCCACAGCCCCTTCCAACCTGCAATATTGGGACAATGAACATTGGTATCAGCTTTGGAAGTGGTATTAGCAGGGCTATTTTTTTTATATGCTCCACACTAAGTAAGAACAAAGTTAGAAATAACAGGAATGTTCCTCTTTGTTGCTGTTTTACTGCCTTTTTCAAAAAAAGCAACTAATAAGTGCAATGAATAATAATAATAAATCATGAACTCACAGCACTATAACTTTGGAACAATGATTATGTTTACTCTGTTATGGCTTTTCTGTCTCCCCTACTCTGATACACCTAAGAAATACTGCTTATAACTTGTTTCACAAAAGATGGACATGCTGTAATACCTCGGCTCTTTCACAGAGCAATTGATCAACACAGCAGCTGACATTTGTTCAAGGAGCATGAGGGTAAGGGCAGAACACTGGACTTCTCTCTCCTTCCCATAGCTTGCAAAGGCTAAGTATCCTAGTCAGCATCTTGCTGGCCTATAATGTGACAGCTCCAAGTTTCCTGGTAGAAAGGGGAGTGAATAGCGTTGTGAGATGCACTGAAGCCTATATTGTCCTAATATATGAAAGTGATGGATTTGCTTGAGGAGCGACATGCAAGATACAAAACCTCTCTTTTTCCTCTTTATTTATATATAAAAATATGGATTCTGACATTCTATAAACAACAATATCATATAAAAACAATGATAGCACTGTACATTTTCACTTGGCTTTGGCCACCAAGTTATTCTGATAGTTATGAAGCAGCTCGTGAAAGAGTCTTCCTTGCATGAACCAATTCAGTTGCAATAAAATCTCAAGAAGGACCTACAGTGAGGGGGAAACTGGTGCTTATATATTCATAAACTATAATATATAAAATAAAAGAAGTTTGCAGTATTGTATATTAACTTGGGGCTAGAGACAAAAGTAAAAAACGAAAACAAAACTCAACATTTTTGTGAAGTTGCAATCTTCTTCAATGGCCTTGCCATTTCTGAATATTCTCAGACACAGTTCAGAGTCTTATGTATTACATTTTAACCCTGTACAGATGGATGTGTACATTTAGCTTATTTCCTGTTCTTTCCAGGAAGGATATCTGTAATCCAGTAGAGAAACAGAGAAGAGATTGCCTTGGCATGATCTGCAAAGGAGAAAGCAAATTCTTCATGAAATGTCAATAAGATAGTGTTCAGTAAACAAATTCCGAATGATAAAAAAAAACCCAAGTAGACATCTGTTTCCATTTTGGAGAAATATGAAGGGAGAGGGGGAGACACCTATGCCTGGGAGCTACAAACATGCAAAAACTTCAAGATTTAAAATCCTACAATAAACAGTTGCAGCTGTGACATGAGTTGCTTTGAGCAGGGATAACTCCAGACTTGAATGGTTAAGCATAATTACTTTATATAAGCCAAATAGGAACTTAATGAAATGAGCAGCTTTGGATAAGACCTTTATTACAATTTTAGGGTTGTATCCAACAAAATAGTTCCAATAGCATGAGGATCTCCATTTGTACAACATAACTTCCCTTCACTTTCATCTTCCTGTGTGCCTCCTACACCCTCCCCAGACCTGCTCTGGAGAGCGGGGATTTCTCTTTCATGAGCTTCCCCATTCCGTATGCCCTGCTCAATCCAAGCTTGTGGCCAGGTCCTCAGCACTCCTTAAACTTACACCTGGAAATCTCTGTCTCTTAACAACAGTCTCTCCTGTTCTCTTTTCACTAGCTCTGTGTACTTGGCCTTCCAAAAACCTCTGAACAAAATACCTGCCAAACCCAAGACTCTTGAGTTAAGGAATAAGAAGAGAGGCCTTCTTGTGGATCAGGAATTGATTAAGTTGTAGGAAGCAAAGAGAAGGAATTTATGGAGAGTTCTCGCAATGGATGGATGTAGGGATTGAAGTCCTCTAAGGATTAGTACAGGGACCTGTGCTTTTTAACTTGTTCATAATCTAGAGTTCGGGTTGAGGAGTGAGGTGCCAAGTTTGCTGATGGTGATAGGGTCAGGGTCATCAAAGCAAAACAAAAGGTTTGCAAAGAGTTCCAAAAGGACCCTCCAAACTGAGCGAATGGGTTATAAAATGGCAAATGCAATTCAATGTAAACAAGTGTACAGTGACGCATGGTGTGGCAAAAGTTCTCAATTTCACATGTGGATGGAGAAAAGTTTTTCTTCTTCTCCCCTAACATTAGAACTCATAGTCATCCAATGAAAATGAATGTTGGGAGATTCAGGACAGGTAAAATAAAGTACTTCTTCACACAGCACATAGCTAAACTATGTAATTCATTTCCATAGGTGACAGTGATAGCCATCAACCCGGATGGCTTTCAAAACTGGACAAATTCATGAAAGTAAAGCCTATCAGTGGCTACTAGCTATGCCCTTGAGCCCCAGTTGCTGCCTTCCGCAGGATAGGTGGGTGCTGTTGAGCTCAGGTCTTGCTTGAGGGCTTCTCATAGCCTTCTGGTTGCCACTGTGAGAAAAATATGGTAAACTTATATGGACCACTGGCCTGATTCTGCAGGCTCTTCTTACGGTATTTGCCCATCTTGGACAAATATTTAACAAGAGTATAGCCACATTGTGGCTAGGCGTTTACCGCAGTGCTAACTACTGCAGTATAATTATTTTTAAGCTGCCTCCTCTTTGATTTCTTCATCTTTGCACATTGCTTTATTTTCTTGATTGCAGCGCATGCGAAGAATCTAGATTGTGCATCACAGGTGGAAGGTAAGAATACTGTATGCTGACTGAGAGAAAGAATAGGTACATGGAGGGGAAAGAATTAGAGGACAGTTCTGCACTTGTTGCTCTTTAAAAAAAGATCTTGACAGAAGACGTTTTTAGCTCTTTAGTGGTTGATAATTTCCTAGGCAACAAGAGAGAAAGCTATTTTTTACTTGATGTTTGCCAACAATAACAACCCCCCCCCCCAAATGTTAAGAGGCAGACTTTAGCGAAGAGGGCGCCCTGAGATGGTGGTGGCTGAAGGAGTCCATAGACTAGAAAAAGGAATGTCTTTACAACAAAACTAAACAAAATCCTCTTTGCTCTTGAGGCTATGGATATCCAGTGTTTGGAATGAACTACTTTAGTTTACTGAAGTTCAATGAATCGAATGAATCGAAGTTCAATTACTTCAAAAATCTCCAAACTTCATCCAAAAGTAGTTCCTATAATTGCTGGATGAACTGGATGGGAATTCAGTTCATTTTGGGGTAGAACCTTGAACAATTTCTAGTTCATCTTCAAGTTCTTTTGATTACATGGGTTGTTGCTGTTGTTTTTAAAATCTTTACATTCTTTGGGCCTTTAAGCTTTGAGACCACAATTGTTGGGGGAGGGGAAAATAAAACAATTCACATTCCACTGTGTGTATGTTTTAAAGTTTTCTTATTCTGAAGTATATTTTATACTTCAGCACAGCAGCTTGTGACATTCTGAATGCTTAAAAAATGGCTGAGGATCACTGGATGCACCTGTGTTGAGGAATGAACTGAGCAGGAACAAAAGGTATGAATTTTGTAAAGGTATGAATGTGGAATGGGATTAGTTCCTTTTTGGACATGTTAAATTGAATTAGTTGCTTTCTTAAAATAAACTTTCAAAAGCTCTGTAGATATCCAATTCCAAGAGTCCCTGTTGCTCTTCAGTGTAGGTGATTCTACTGCTCTTCTGCTTAGGTAAAGGTAAAGGGACCCCTGACCATTAGGTCCAGTCATGGCCGACTCTGGGGTTGCGGCACTCATCTCGCTTTACTGGCTGAGGGAGCCGGTGTACAGCTTTCGGGTCATGTGGCCAGCAGGACTAAGCCGTTTCTGGCAAACCAGAGCAGCACACGGAAACACCGTTTACCTTCTCACCAGAGTGGTACCTATTTATCTACTTGCACTTTGACGTGCTTTCGAACTGCTAGGTTGGCAGGAGCAGGGACTGAGCAACGGGAGCTCACCCTGTTGCGGGGATTCGAACCGCCGACCTTCTGATCGGCAAGTTCTAGGCTCTGTGGTTTAACCCACAGCACCACCCTCATCCCTACTGCTTAGGTCCCCACAAAGCCGCATGGGATATTCTGTTCTCCACAGCGGCATTGCATTTCCCAGATGTTCTGAAATACATGAAGTAGCTGCCAGAAGGGACTCCTTTTCAGTTGGCCCATAATCCCTGAGTCCAGGCTAGTCTGCTTTGGTTTATTAGAATATGAATGGAAGCAGCTGTTTGAAATATTGTTTTAATCAACAACAACAAGAAAACCCTCGACAAGGAAAGCAAGGAAAATCCGATTTCCTTTTTGAAAAGGGATCATTTCCCAATGGAATATATTTGTGATGGAAGGTTTCGATTTATTCAGCTTTTGTATTAATGTAGTGCCACAGCTGCCCTCCCTGCTCCTAGGCCTTTAACGTGGTTTGAATTGAAGCGGTAGCTGTTACACTTTCGAGCTTTTATATTTATGACGATTTCAAAAAGCAACTCAAGTTCTCTTTGACATCAGCGCTAGTGAAATATTGACCCTTTGTAAGTATATAACATGTGGCTGACTTTCATACCTCTGGCCAGTACGTTTGTTATTGGCCTATCATAGGGACATAGGAGTCAGTCCACAGGTCCACCGAGTTCAGTATTATCTGCACCAGGGCGGTCCAACTTTTCATACCAAGTGGGCCGCAAGAGTACTTCAAAAGGGAACCCACAGGCCACATACTGCCTTGTTGCATGGGGGGGGGGGGAGTGAGGCCAAAATTGGATGATGATAATAATAATGATAATGATGATGATGATGATGATGATAATAATAATAATAATAATAATAATAATAATAATTTATTATTTATTATTTATACCCTGCCCATCTGGCTGAGTTTCCCCAGCCATTCTGGGCAGCTCCCAATTGAGTGTTAAAAACAATGCAGTATTAAATATTAAAAACTTCCCTAAACAGGGCTGCCTTCAGATGTCTTTTAAAAATAGGATAGCTGCTTATTTCCTTGACATCTGACGGGAGGGAGTTCCACAGGGCAGGCGCCACTACTGAGAAGGTCCTCTGTCTGGTTCCCTGTAACCAGACAGACCCTCCATGCCCCTCCAACCCTCATGCTGCCTTCCCAGAGTCAGCTCAGCAAGGTGCGAGGCTGTGGCAGAGTCCTAGAGCTCTCCCACCCCCTTCCTAAAGCTGGGGAAGAGCTAACTACGCTTTGGGAAGGAGAGAGGTGGACTCTAGGACCTTGTCAGAGCCCTCATCCTTCATTCCCAAAGCCCAGAGACTCGCTGAGCCAGCTTTGAGAAGGCAGCGTGAGGGCATCAAATGTTGCCAAGGGCTGCCAAAAATGGTCTCAAGGGCTGCATGCAGCCTTTGGGCTATGTGCTTAACCACCCTGATCTAGTGTCTCCAGAGTTTGAGGCAAGGGGTGTCTCTCAGATATACAGTGGTACCTGGGGTTACAGATGCTTCAGGTTACAGACGCTTCAGGTTACAGACTCCGCTAACCCAGAAATATTGCCTCGAGTTAAGAACTTTGCTTCAGGATGAGAACAGAAATCATGCAGTGGAGGCACAGTGGCAGCAGGAGGCCCCATTAGCTAAAGTGGTGCTTCAGGTTAAGAACAGTTTCAGGTTAAGAACAGACCTCCAGAACGAATTAAGTTCTTAACCTGAGGTACCACTGTACCTGGAGATGGTGGGGACGGAACCTGAGCCCTATTGAATGCAAGACAGATGCTTTACCATAGCTATTAAGCAATCATTTTATTTGTGGCTTGTCCCAGATTCCCCTTCTACAAGGGTAGGTGCCCCTTCAGCTAAGGCGCAGCGCCCCTTCAGCTAAGCGGGAGGAGAAAAGGAAGGGGCTCCGTTTCTCCTGCTGCTTCGCTGAAGGGGCGCTGCGCAGAGAGGGGGAGAATTTTGTTGTTCTCCCCCTCTAAAACAAGGTGTGTCCTATGGTCGGGTGCGTCTTATAGAGCGAAAAATACGGTAGTTCTTACAGTGGTTAAACAATGACTTCCTCTTCCAAGGAAACTCTGGAAGTGTAGTTTGATGAAGGAAATAGTGGGTCTCCTAACAACTCTCAAAACCCTCAACAAACTATTGTCCCCAGGTGTCTTTCTGGGAAGCCATGGTTGTTTAAAGCGGCATAATGACGCTTTAAATGTATATTACAGGCAGGGCCACAGTCTAAAAACAGGTCTGCCATATTAATGCGGAAGCCTGTTAATTTGATGTGAACAAACCCAAGTCAGTTTCGGAGTGCAGGACACCATATGCAGTACTTTGGATCCTGACCAAAGTTTTTTCATGCTCCTCTTTTACTGGAGACTTCCTAAATAGTATTTAAAAATCTGGAATTCGGGGGTGAAGGAGTCTTATTTTCTCATTCTATCTGCTTCTCTCCCTTACACGTACTGCACACACACACCAGTGAACCATTTTCAGAGTGAGGTAAAGTGAGGTGTGAAGAGAATTCTAAATGGATGCTTTAAACCACTGTAAGGAGTGAGGAGTGTTTATGCCACAGTTGGATTTATGGAGAACAGTGCACCTTATGAGAACGAGAAAGAACGGGGGTTGTGAACCATGCCTTGCAGCTATTCTCTTCTGTTTTCTTAATTGAAAATAAAACGCACAGATTGCTATCTCGTAAGTCCTAGTCTTCCCCTCCACCAAAAGGTAACTAACTTGCATGAAGTTAGAAGACAGCAAATGTACAACTAGAAAAGAAAATTATTTGGCAGAGTAAAATGTTTTGCTGCAAAACATCCAGATCACGAGCGAAAGGCTCAGGCTACAACCCTATACTACCTTGGAGCAAGTCCCACTAAACTCAACAGGCCTCACCTCTGAGCATGCTTACATTTGCACAGCCAGTGATATTTAGTTTTCTAATTGGAACTGTGTATTACTGTGTCATGGGCAGAGGAAAGGGTAACAGCCAAAACAGGGCCACCACTGAGCCCTCTATATTGGACACCCTTGAGACTACCTTTACACACAGACTGAGAAACAAAAAAGTAGACTGCCTTTGAAATATATATTTTCCCTGTGCATGGAAAAGTGCCTGGAGGCGGTTGGAGGATGGATGGCGGCTAACAGATTGAGGTTGAATCCTGACAAGACTGAAGTACTGTTTTTGGGGGACAAGGAGTGGGCAGGTGTGGGGGACTACCTGGTCCTGAAGGACCAGGTGCGCAACCTGGGAGTCATTTTGGACTCACAGCTGTCCATGGAGGCACAGGTTAATTCTGTGTCCAAGGCCTGTGTCTACCAGCTCCATCTGGTACGCAGGCTGAGACTCTACCTGCCTGCGGACTGTCTTGCCAGAGTGGTGCATGCTCTAGTTATCTCCCGCTTGGACTACAGCAATGCGCTCTACGTGGGGCTACCTTTGAAGGTGACCCGGAAACTGCAATTAATCCAGAATGCGGTAGCTAGACTGGTGACTGGGAGTGGCCACTGAGATCACATAACACCGGTCCTGAGAGATCTGCATTGGCTCCCAGTACGTTTCCGAGCACAATTCCAAGTGTTGGTGCTGACCTTTAAAGCCCTAAACGGCCTCGGTCCTGTATACCTGAAGGAGCGTCTCCAGCCCCATCGTTCAGCCCGGACACTGAGATCCAGCGCAGAGGGCCTTCTGGCGGTTCCCTCATTGCGAGAAGTGAGGTTACAGGGAACCAGACAGAGGGCCTTCTCAGTAGTGGCGCCCGCCCTGTGGAACGCCCTCCCTTCAGATGTGAAGGAAATAAGCAGATATCTTCTTTTTAAAAGACATCTGAAGGCAGTCCTGTTTAGGGAAGTTTTTAATATTTAATGCTGTATTGTTTTTAACACCTGATTGGAAGCCGCCCAGAGAGGCTGGGGAAACTCAGCCAGATGGGCAGGGTATTATTATTATTATTATTATTATTATTATTATTATTATTAAATTCTGCATCCTAGTTTTCAAGGAAAGGAACAATAACAGCACCTTTGTGTGCACTGAACTTACCGGGAGGCATCACTGACTTAGTGTGGAACTCTTCCACGGCCCCCTTGAGTTTCTCTACATCCTGCAGAAACACAGGAGATGTCATCTCACGCAAAAGAGTGACGTCTGACAAAGGCATGCTGCGAGATTCAAGACTCTGTAAAATCTCCTGAACGCTTTCTGAATTCACAGCTGACTCTGCACATTTAGATCGGTCTGGGAGGGGGGGAATGGAAGAAAAAAAGCAGAACAAGAGAGAGAAGTTCATTTACAAAGTTTCCTCTTTATTTATGTAGTTATTGATTAACTACCCTTACTTTTCAACATCACTGGATTATTTTGATTTGCAACTCTTAAAACAGATGTGTTATAATGCATGTCACATCCATCCCAGGCACTTAAAAGCACACTTAACAAACATGCCCCCCCCGAAGAATCCTGGGAATTGTATTTTATAATTTGCAGCAGCTTTAACAAAGTTCCAAGGATTCTTTGGATGAAGACAAGTGCCTTAAATATTTGTTAAGTGTGCAAGTGACCACTGTGACAAGCCATTTACCGCTTGTTAAAACGAATGAGATAGTAGCTATGGTAATGATGGCAATATGGCAGGCTGAAAATTTCTGGCGGCATTGTATACCGAAGCAAAACCAGAGGAGAGACTGACCATGACTTAGGAACAAGATAACCAACTACAGCTATTTGTAGCTTTAGAGTTATCTATTGTAGCAGGGATGAAAGGCAAACGTAAAAGCAAATTCCTTCCAGCATTACGTCATGTCACTTTTTGCTCTCTTTCACCCCAGTCTTTCAATCATCTACCGTTACCACCCTTAGTCGTTCAAGCTGTGCGGTTTTAAACTTGTAGTTTGCAATGGTGCAAGAAAATATGTAGATCTGTCTGCACAACCACTAAGTCATAAACAGTTTGCCATGAGGGGTGGCATCTATGTACAGTGGTGCCTCAGGTTACATACGCTTCAGGTTACAGACTCCGCTAACCCAGAAATAGTGCTTCAAGTTAAGAACTTTGCTTCAGGATGAGAACAGAAACTGTGCTCCAGCGGCGTGGCAGCAGCAGGAGGCCCCATTAGCTAAAGTGGTGCTTCAGGTTAAGAACAGTTTCAGGTTAAATACGGACCTCCGGAACGAATTAAGTACTTAACCTGAGGTACCACTATAGTCTGGATTTGAAGTGGTCACTGTATGACAGGTTCTGAGCACAGGGCCTTGGAAGTTTCTCAACGTGTCTGTCTAAAATCATAGGATGAAATCATATTCTGTGACATTGCCCAGTTGCTTCAAGTTTCAAGTCAAGCCTTTCTTGTCACTGGGTTATACAGAAAAATGAGCAACGTCAGTGTTTAATTCATGCCCGTAGAAATAAATTCCACTGACATCAATGAAACTTATTTTAAGTCTGCTTAGCCAACACGGTGGCCTTCATATGTTGTTAGGAATTAAACTCCTATCATCTCTTGCCAGCATGGCCCAATGGTCAGGAAAGATGGACATTTTAGTTCAGTAACAGCTGGATGGCACCACATTGGCTACCTGGACTTAGGATATAATTCTGGTTGTGTGATCCACTCACGGTGCAATCCTAACCATCTCTACTCAGAAAAAGGTTATACTGAATTCAATGGGGTTTACTCCCAGGGTAAGTGGGATTAGGAATGCAGACTAAGATTGCAATCTTATGCATATTCACCTGGGAGCAAGCACTACTGAAACCAGTGGGTCTTACTTCAGAGTAAACATGCACTGGGCTGTAAAGACAGGGTTTTTTGTAGAGAAAATGCTTTGAAGACAGTTGCCCTTCCACCGAAACACTTGGTTGTTCCAACAGAAGCAAAAGTGCTGTAAATATATTTTCCCATTTGCTATTATGAAGACATTATTACCAATAAATTGGGCCGGATTATTGGCTATTATGATGAGGGTACTGTATAAGGGGCTGTCACTGAGCCCACATTTTTTTCATATTCCTGTTATGTCCCCAGCAGAGTTGCCTCAGGACAGCAAGTTAAAAATTCATTCCATAGAAGAGATCTACACTTTGGGGTTTGGGGCACAAGACAGTGAAAGAGTCAACATACATTTATTTCTCCAACTCAAAGTTACTGACGATATGGAGGAAATGTACCTACTGTCAGAGAAATAGATTTCTTGTGCTGCTTGCAAAAAATCCAAAATGCCATCTACATTGCTATCTGCCTCTTCAAAGTCGGTTCTTTCCTCCCTCTCGGGCTTATATGTGAAATCTATACCAGTTGGCTTTGTCAGCAAACCAGCTGCTCTCATCTTTTCCTTTTGCCGCTTCTTTTTAATTTTCCTCTTTTTGTTTCGACTTAGATTTGCGCCGTCTGTGTGCCGCAGCTGTAAATTATCTTCAATCAGATTTTCATGCTTCCCACACTTTGTTTGGCCTCCGTGTAAATTATCCGGGTTTTGCAAAACGTTCTTCCGTTTCCTCCTTCGGGTGCGCTTTCTCCGGAGCTGTCCTTGATCATTCTCTTCTGCAGGTTCAAAAGAAACATTACAAATAAAAGTGAGAGGCAGTGACTCTTGGCTGTGCTTCGTACGAATGCCCCCTTTCTCCTGTTTCTGCAATGTTTCCGCATCTCTGATACGTTGCAGAGGATTTGGTTCAGCTACAATGACGGTGATGATTCATTCAGCACATTCAAATGTACCGGTACATGGTGCTTTAAAGGGCAACATAAGAGAAAGAAAAAAAAGGCATGCACCAGTAACAAGGAGCTGAAAGCCTGTATTTCAACAGTAAAGGTAAAGGGACCCCTGACCATTAGGTCCAGTCACAGACGACTCTGGGGTTGTGGCGCTCATCTCGCTTTATTGGCCGAGGGAGCTGGCGTACAGCTTCCGGGTCACATGGCCAGCATGACTAAGCCGCTTCTGGTGAACCAGAGCAGCGCACGGAAACACCGTTTACCTTCTCGCCGGAGCGGTACCTATTTATCTACTTGCACTTTGACATGCTTTCGAACTGCTAGGTTGGCAGGAGCTGGGACCAAGCAGCGGGAGCTCACCCCGTCGCGGGGATTCAAACCACCGACCTTCTGATCGGCAAGTCCTAGGCTCTGTGGTTTAACCCACCCGTGTCCCGTATTTCAACAGTAGGGAGACACAAACACAACAAGAGGGGAGAAAGGAAGGCAGAGGAAATGAGAGGTGTGAACCTGTGCCAGTTCACATACTTAGGATTTAGTTTAGTTAGGGACAAGTTACAGACTACAGCTACAGGCTTCACAGGAAAAGGATTTAAAGGGAGAAGGATGGCATCATAGAGGGTCAACACTGTTATGCACACCTACATCTTAATAAACCAACAGAGGGGACTTCCAGGTTCAGGGGAATGACCGTCACGCAGCACATGCTCTCCATGCAGAAGTCCCAGCACAACCTGTGATACCTCCAATTCAAAAGGTGATGGGAAAGGCCCCTGCCAGAGACCCTTGAGAGCCATTGCTAGGTGGACAATATGGCGCTAGATGGGCCAATGGTTTGATCTTGTATATGGCAGATTCCTATGTCCGTACACCTCAGTCACGCTATTATACACCAAATTTCAGAGCTGCACAGGATTCAACTCCACACGCTGCAAGACAAAAGCAGGGCGCCCTGCGTCTGCCTGATCACTAATGAAGAAAATAAGTGAGAAGAAGTGAGTGGTGTTGAAATCGTCCTCACTGGAAGGTTTTCTAGGATAGATGCCTCCTCCCAGCTCTTCTGAACCCAATTATTCTCCATTATAGCTGCCATAGTCATTCACATACCTTAACCTTGGTATTTATCCATAAAACTAAACTGTTGCAGTAAGCCCTTAACTTACATGGGGGTTATGTTCCAGGGATCTTTTTGGGGGGGATGCTCATTCATTCATTCATTCATTCATTGTGCACAAATAAATGTGTGTAAGTTGTGGGCTTCCTGTACTTGCATTTTCTTTAAAAACAAACAAAACAGGATCTGGCTGCTCATTTAGACTCTCACTATCCTCCTCTCTCTATCATAGCTTTCTTATTTGCCTAATTATCCGGATAGATCTGAGACCACATAGTCCAGCCCTGACTCAGGGTTCAGTCAGTTTGGCTCAGAACCAATCTTTGCTCCCGAAGCCTGAAGTAATCCCCGACCCTTAACTCCGCCTCAGATACACTGCCCCAGAGAGCACATCTGCCTGTCAAAGCCACTGAACTTCTGCCAGATGCCTTGAACTACCTCCTGTCCCAGCTAATAACAATCCTTTATGTGGCCTAACTAAAATACTACCTCTCATAAATCTCATGAAGTAGATTTTAAAAGTAGAGTGAAGAAAACACAGCCCCACTACCATTTAGGAACTTTTCTTCTTAACCGCTTTAAATAGTAAACTAGTACCCAGCATTCTCGGTGAATGAAGGCAAGGACACTGGAATCACTGGCAGGCAGAAGAAGCAGTGCATTTCCTAGGACATGGCCTGAAGTTGCAGGATTCGGCAAACCTTGCAGAAACTAAGCTGGTCTGGGTCATTACCTCACTGGGAGACTGCCCTCAAACCCCATGTTTTCTGCCTTGAGTTCCAAGTTGGGTGAAACGATAAAGATATGCTGAACAAAATAAATAAAGCAAACTTTGCACTTCTTTTCTAAATTTGCTTACGATTTAATTCCATAGGACCAATCTATAGACCAGAACTGGACAACTCATTTCAGGGTTTTTGTTTAAAGCTGATTTGCATTAATTTGTCTTCACTTGCAAAGCTTGGAAGGGAGACCCACCAAGAATTAGAACAGCCTCTACCACCTATTTGACAAAACCACATGATACTAGACTAAGGACAGTATAGTACTTATAGGGGAGAGATAGGACTAGTAGAGCCCGGGTTCAAATTCCCACTTAGTCATGAAACTCACTGGGTGGACCTTGGGCTAATTGTTATCTCCCACTCTACATGATAGGTTGTAAGGATAAAAAAGGAGAGAGCGATCTAAAATGCCTTCCACCCTGAATTCATTGAAGAGCAGGAAATAAACTGTAATGAGAACAAACGCACTTAGGACATCATTCTATAACCCTCTCTCCCTCTCCATATATGATCACATAATGGAACCTTATTTGTAGCCACGCCAATGGCTCTGATAAGGCTGTCCCAGGAACCTGCCAAGGCAACCCTGACGAAAGAGAGTAATGTATGAGAGTTGACTGCCTTTAAAATGCTTTATTTCCACTAGCATGGCCTTTAGCATCCAATATTTGTCTGGCAGCTTCCCCGTAACTCATCTCCCGTCTTTGTAATAATAAATTTGCTCTAAAGATGAGGAGCTGCGGTTTTATTTTTGCTGCCTCTCCTTTCTTGAGCTTTGTTATCTATGATACGCTTCCTCTCTTTCAATACCAGGCATCAGACCGTCAGTTTCTTCTTAGTTGATGAATGTGTGACTCACTACAGAGTAGTCTGTGGTACTTTCTACAAAGGAGGCGGCAGCGGGGAATAAAAATACATTTGCAATTCAACATCCTGGCATAGCAAAGACCGAAATGATTTGCACTGGGTGCCTACATTCAAGAGTGCTTCACCTGCGTGACATTTGAAATAGCCATCTTTTGCAGGCAGATGAGAAGCAGAACAAATTCCTGTAAAATATCAGCAATGTAAACGGCAACAAAATAAGTAGAAAATAAAAATAATACTGAAAATGATGGAAAGAAGAAAGAGTCCTCATCAGAGAGGGATGGCAAATCAAGCTGTTGGACTACGCCGACATGGCAAAACTGACCAGAAAGCTCAGAAACCAAGAAGACAAAAACTTTAAGAACAAATGGGAAAAAATTATAATTTATTTAGGAGACCATTGTAAGCAGATGAAAACATTAGCAGGATTCTAATATCACTTGTAATGTATCAAACACTATTGACAATATGAACAGATACAAAATATAGATTATGAAATAATATGCAGTTGAAAATGTTGACAATAGGACCATTGGAGGGGATGGTGGGAAGTCTTGAGATTCAGAGAAATTTCTATATACGGATATGTACTTGGTATTGTTACAACTTTACACTTGTAATATCAAAAATGATTTCAAATAAGTTTTGGCTTCACTTCTTTTTAAGAAATTATAACACAATGGAGAATTAGCATGGAGCCTTTGACAGGCCATTGGACGTGTATCAGGAAGACATTGGATTAGAAATTTGGTAACTACGGTTACTAGAGAGCCTTAGACTAGTCACCTACATCACAGAGTTGCTGATAAAATGGCCCAGCTCTCAGTATTCACCATGATATTCTTTGGACAGAGGATGATAAACGCAACCATTCACAAATACAGCTAACTGAAATTTCCACACCACAGCATTCACTATTATGCATGTACTCAGCGTAAGGGGTGAAGATAAGGAAGGCAGAGGAGGCAAAATATAACTTAGACTGTTTCTTGGATGGGTGGGGAGGAAGTGTGCAACTCAATAGGCTCAGAGCTTCTTCAGTTTAGCACCTGCAACAACTAATTGCTATTAAGAAAACAGCTCTGTAGTTAGTAAGATTATCCTCTTTACCTTGCAACTCAAAGAACTGCCAGGTGGTTTTACTGGAACAGTTATATTCCTAACGTGAGGATATTTTTTTTTAAAAAAAATCAAAAACTTTTTGATGTATCTTAACAGTAGCCTTCTCTTTTTTTGGTTCAACTTTTGCAGGTTTCAGAATTGCACTTCGAAGTAGAAAAAAACTGTTTAATTCTACAAGGCTTCAAAGAATTCGGGGTGGGAACATACAACTCCAGCTGCCGCAGAGACAAAAGCTCTGCAGACAATAAAATCATGTTTATTAAACAATGTAAGAGTCATTAACATTTGCGGTTTCAGTGGACATAAATTTTGATGGACCAATGGAATATGGTTATTACAGATATTAGATGGAGAAGGAATCTTGGGTGTTTCTTAGTACAGACCCAGGTCATTGAGCCTGAACTTCTTAACTGTTTTTTTTTTGGGGGGGGGACAGGATGGCTAGGATAGAAGCAGGCCTGCATGCCCAACAATCCAATTCCACTAATACCCAGCTCTCACAACCAAAACGTACATAATTATGACCAGTGTGCAAACATCGCTACTTATTTGCATCAACATGCTTCCCCACAAAGCACTGTGATTGGAGTGGCCTTGGAAAACCACCCACTGGGATTAAAAGCTAGAATTGTCCATCAAAATGAAAGAACTCCCACCAGCCTCTCTACCCTCCCCTTCTCTCAAGTTGTGGGGGTTTCCCCAGAGAAATGGTTTCAATTCATGGGGCGGGGGGGAGCTGGGGAAGGTAGCACATTTAACTTTTTTGGGGGAAACAGAGGCAACAGACCTACTGGATGTACGTATCGGGCATCATAGTTAACAGCACAACCTGACTTGCAAATCTGAGAGTCTGCCTCAAATCACCTTGATTTGCTTTGTCTGGGGTACAGACAGAACGAATGCACACGCCAGGTATTTTTTCCTTCCATAAGAGGCAATTTGATGCATTCACCCCAGAATTGGAGCCTGCACACACACACATGAAGAAAACTGAACTAGCTTTCTAACGTAATCTGATACTCAACATGTATCTGTATATGAATGTATGAAAAGGACTGGTCTGCCAGAAAAGAAACTTAGTAGAACAAAGAGGAGTTATTGGTGGGAAAATATGTTATAAAATTACCAGCCTGTATTGTAAAGCATTACTCACAGTTCAAACTGTCAGCTACTGAAAACAATTAGTGTTTTGGCTCACTTCTGTGTGACAGCCAATTTACAGCTGAGAATTTCTACCCCAAGCCAATACCGCTATTGGCAATCTAAACCCCAAGAGAAAAAGTAGTTTCCAGATGATGGGAACAAAATTCACTTTCTGAGCACATTTTCCCAATTCCTCCAGGGAGCTAATAGTGGATAGATTCCTCTCTTTGCTGAATTCTGTCTGCCAATTATTTTAAATAAAACAAAATAATCTTCCTTGCCTGCCTTTCAGTAGAAAAACACTGTTTTTCAACATCCATGATAGTGAAATCAGGATAGAAAAAAGACACCAGAAGTTCTGTAAATCCAGTATTTTTCCCTCCAGTATTAGCATCCGATTAACCTTCTCTAAATGTAAAGGGACCCCTGACCATTAGGTCCAGTCATGACCAACTCTGGAGTTGCGGCACTCATCCCGCTTTATTGGCCAAGGGAGCCAGCATACCGCTTCTGGGTCATGTAGCCAGCATGACTAAGCCGCTTCTGGCGAACCAGAGCAGCGCACGGAAACGCCGTTTACCTTCCCGCAGAGTGGTACCTATTTATCTACTTGCACTTTTGACGTGCTTTCGAACAGCTAGGTTGGCAGGAAACCTTCTCTAAAGGAAATGGCTAATTGAAAGCCACCCCAAAGCTTTAGCATGCAATGGACCGTAGGAACACGGTTATGTCTTCTGCTCTCTCTTTACTAAAGGCAAGGATTTCCCTGTAGATGGCAAACAGCCATCCTTAAGAAAGCTGCAGCAAGAAACAGTGTTTTGATCTTTTCTTCTGTGTTGGTGGGGGCTTGGCGTGACAGGCTGTAACTGCTGCCCACCCCAATATTGGGGAAGCAGCCATTCACTGTCACCACTTCTCTAGAATGTCAGGTTCAGTAGCAAAGCACACAGCTGTGCCCTGGAGAAGCGGCAACTCGTCTCACACAACCACCTGCCAAGTGATCTTTCCTGTTGCCAGGGCAGATGCAGAGCTAGCGACCCGCAATGTTGTAAGGACATTTTGGTCGCCGGAGTTTTCATACGTGGGCAGCCTGGAAATGATATGCTTTGGAAGCCAGGCCACGACTTGGCAAAGGGCACCTTGAGCCAAATCAGGTTTTGTCGTCCTGTGTGCCACTCACTTCCTGTGTGCACTTAGTGAAACTGACACTGGTTAGAGAAGCAAGCAGGAGGAGCGTGATGGGAGAAGAGAGAACACCAATTCTGTTTTATTTTTAGGTCGGCTTTTTAAAAAACTCTTAAAAAGAAAAAGGAAGAAAAAGGAAGAAACGGTCAGCGATAGCTTCGAACATATATAATTGAATGATGATGATCTTGATCTGTTAAGACAGCAGGCTGGAGTGTTTCTTCAAGTAGTTACACCCATCAATCCTTTCGGATTACGGTGGTGGATTAGAGAGTCTCATTGGCCAGCAAAGAGATTGCCAAAGTCCATTATTTTGAACAAATAAAGCTTTTGTTTCCAGTATCAAGTGGAAAACCTGTTTATACAGTACAAGGTCATACCGAAAAAGAAGGAAGTCAGAAAGCAAAATACGGACACACTTTCCCAGGGTATTAACTGTACAGTGGTACCTCGGGTTAAGTACTTAATTCGTTCAGGAGGTCTGTTCTTAACCTGAAACTGTTCTTAACCGGAGGCACCACTTTAGCTAATGGGGCCTCCTGCTGCTGCCGCACTGCCGTAGCACGATTTCTGTTCTCATCCTGAAGCAAAGTTCTTAACCCGGGGTACTATTTCTGGGTTAGCGGAGTCTGTAACCTGAAGCTTCTGTAACCTGAAGCGTATGTAACCCGAGGTACCACTGTACGTCTAGAACTAGGCAATCCATGCCTTCCACCAATATGCATTTAAAATTTCACCTAGACTTCTATATTATAGACTGTAGAAGTCTATCAAGTATATCATTCGCTCAAGAGAGTATATATTAACAAAACAACATTGTACAACTTGGGACCCCCAACACCTAAATGATCACCTTTCTGATGATGATGATGATGATCCCTCTTGCCTTTTCCTCAGAAAAGGGACTCAAGGTAGCTCACAAAAATTAAAACAAGCATGGATAAAACACATAAAGCTGGAAACATGTAAAAGATAGTAGTTAAAAAGTAATTAAGCTATAATAGAATTAACATGATCTAAAACAACTTTAGAAAATCTAATATGTCTAGAAAAAACAGCAACAACATAACACGATGAAAAGACCTTTCCTTAAAAACAGTCAGATCTCAGAAGCCTGCTGGAATAAAACAGACTTCATTGGCTAGCAGAAGGAGAACAAGGAACAATGTGAGCGAGACCACAGAGGCGGTTGCCCTGGGCGCAAAATTCTTTGGGTTTGCAAAATTTGAAAAAGAAAAGGAAAAAGGAGTAGTAATAATAAAAACAATAAATATAAAAGGATGCTACTAAACCAGAAGTGGTTTTTTGTGGGTTCTCCTACGGGAAAACAACAACAGTGCTGTAGGTGGTATAGTACACATTCCGCTTAAATCTTGCTCCTTAAAGAGCTCTCATTTATTTTATTTATTTAACATCATTTATATTCCAGTCTTTAACCATTTTGCCCATGGAACATCAACGGTCAGTTGCAATCCCACTTTCAAAGCTCACAAAAAAACATGTATAAAAGCAGAGGAAGCCGTATTGCTCCATCAATACTTTTATTAGCGTCCACCAAAATGGGAGTGGGAAAACTCTCTCTTCATCTCCTCCACCCTTCACTTCCTCTGATGCAGGGTTCTGTGAACTCAACAACTTGCTCACTACTTTTTGGCGTCTTGGTTGGTCCTAAGAACGACACTGCCAGACTGTGAATAATAGGAACAACCGAGAAAATATTATACGCCATGGCGAGAGAATGTGGTTAGGTTTGAGATTCCAGATCACCCGTTGAATAGGCACAATTGAGGAAGGAAGGCATTACCTCACACACGGTCTGGGGTGGTTCAGTCGCTACAGCAGGAGATTTTTAATCTCAGGGTCGTGGGTTCCTGCATTGCAGGGGGTTGGAATAGATGACCCCTGAGGACCTTACAACATGGATGATTCATTCATATTGGTGGCGACAATTTTACATGGGGGTTCCGTTCCTGGCCCTCAACACGCCCACTCTGCCCTGTTACATCACCATTACAGCCTTTTCCAGGAAGTCCAAAAGAACCTGTGCATCAATGGGATGCTCACAAAATGGTCACCATGTCTCTCTCTCTCTCTCTCTCTTCCCACAGTGAAGTGCTTTGCAAGCTACATACACACACATGCACTTAAAGGTTGACAGTCCAGCATTGACACTGGAACACTGGAACTAAAATAAACATATTCTCCAGACCTCAGCTCCCCTCCCCTCCAGGGAAGCAACATCACAAGGTGTGTATGTCAGGGCTTCATTACAGATGAGCAAGTCTCCTCTTAACTTAATTCTCGAGTGAAGTTGCACATGTTCCGACCGGTGCTGGGGTTACAAATCGCCTTATTGATGTACTGTGCTATCTGGGCTGGATTGCTGCCAGGCTATTAATCTAAAAGCCTCCAGAGCAGGGGCTCCCATACTTCTTTGCCCTGAGTCTCATCTGCACCCTTATCACTTTTCTGATGCGGGCGGCACCTGTTGCTGAGGCTCCCTTTTATCCCCATGGCGTTTAAAGATGCAAGTTCACTTTTGACATCTCACGCAGAGATCTGTTTGTTTGTTTTGAAAGCCAGGCAGCAAATAAGAAACTCCCTTTAAATACAATAGTCCAAACACACAATACTAGTCTTGGCGTGCGGTCAGTGGGCTGGGGCGACAAGGCTAGTCCTCTAAATGTTCCCTTGGCATCTCCTTCCCAAAGCCCAGGAAGCTTCCGTCTGGCTTAGGGAGAGAGGAGCTCTGCTCTGATGGGTCCAAGAACCCTTCTGCAGCCTTCTTTGTTTCCTCATTTCCTTTTTTTTTATAATTAATATTTATTAAGTTTTCAAAGAATAACAACAAAAATTTCCAAAAAAATTTGAAAATACAAAAAACAAAAATGATAAAGAAATAAAAAGAAAAAACCCAACCATAAAGAAAAAAAGAAAAAAGAAAAACAAAAGTATAAATTCATTTACGATCTCTGTTAACTTCCTTTCTAGACTTCCTCCTCCTCCCTCTCTTGTTTCTTAATTTTTAATTTTTACAGCAAATCCTTTCTGTTTTTCATAACATTCTATCATTACATTTCCTTATTCTATTTTCCCTCTTGTCATATAAAAACTTTAAAACTCAAAGCTTATATTCAGTATTTACCAAATTCTTACATCATTACCTTTTTGCAAATCATTTACCAATCATTACTTAAGCCATATAATTTCATTCAACATCTTTCAAACATTTATGAACGTTCCCAATATTGAAAAATAGAAAAATAAAATAAAATAATAAGTCAGACACAATCCAGTCAACTTCCAGCGCCCTCCCCTGGACCCGGGATTGTCAGTCCTTTAACCTCAATAGTCCGACTCCTTAACCTGGTTGTCTCGTGTCCGAGGCCCTCAAATCTCTTTCTTGCCCCTTTCGCAGCTCTTCTTGATGTTTCCCTTTCAGTCGTGGGTACTCCAGCAGAAAGATACTTTTGACCCTTTGCAGCAAGTCCATCTCATGCCCATTGTCCAAGCCAGACAGCAGATAATACCACTTCAAGTTTCCTTGAAACTTGGAGGCTCCGACTACTCCAATCCTCTGATGGCCCATCACCAGACTCGGAAAGTCCAGATAACCATATAAAGGGGGGTCAATCCATCCCCCATTTCCAAATCTAACCACATTTCATCTTTCCGAATCTGATTTATCCCAAGTTCATTTATCAAGTTCAAAGGCTGATCCTGCCGGTCCAAAGGTCCCTCCATCTCTGAAGCCTCCATCACTACAGCAGGTTCATATACTTGTAAATATTTTAACTGAGTTCCATTTACTTGCTGCTGTGCTCTGGTAACTTCCGTCATCAAGGTCGTCTCCTGACGCATCTGGTCCAGCTGGGCACTTAGTTTTGAAAAACCTTCCAGGAACATTTGTTCAAGCCTTTGTACAAGCATTATCCTTCAAGGTCAAAGAAAATTCTTTCCCACGATTATAGTCCTTCACTTTTAAGCTCTCTGCGTTGCAGTTTCACTAAATCCCACTAGAGGGAAAACCTTTTTTTCTTTTTTTTTATAAAGGAGAAAAACATCAGCAACAGTCTTTCTTTTCCAGAAACACTTTATCCAAAGTTCCCCCTCCAAAATTCAAGAGGCAACAGTAGAGTCACAATGTTACCTTTCTTTTAACTATCTGTCGAGCTGGACAAGCTTCAAAACGTCAGTTCTGACAGCCCGCTCCTGGTTCAGGGCGGTGGAAAATTACTTTGTTTTAAACTCACTTCCGCAGGGTTAAAAGTTCAAAACAACCCCTTCTTCTCCTGCAGTCAAAGGGGTTCAGAAATCTTAGATGTTGAATTCTAGTTCTCTCAGAATTTAATTTTCAAGCTTTAGTATATTTTGTCTTTGCTTTCTTCACGTAACAAAAGAACGGAAGGCTGACTTCCTGTTTAGACCTTCCGTTCCAAGTCCCAATTAAATTCAATTTCAAGTCCAATTTATTTATTTATTCACCAGTCTTAAAAGTAATTCAGCTCTTCCAAGATCAGGTACTCACGGATAGATGTTTTAGATGCCAAATTGTCCCAGGAAAAGGCAGCGCTCTCCGGAAACGGCAGTGCGGCTTTGCTGCACGAAAGAAGCAGTCGACTCACAGCACCACGCACCTCCCACTCCGGGCCCGTTACCGGGCTCCTGCACAAGGGAGAGGCGCTCACGGTGCCCGCTGGAGTCCCACGTCCACAGGCTTCATCCGCCTGTGGATTTTAAGGGTCCCCGCTGCGCCGTAGCGGTAGGACCCAAGCTTCCGTGCAGCGGGTTCCCTTCAACTTGAAGGGAATTCCGCCATTTTCCGGAGGCGCCACCCCGGAAGTCCTTTGTTTCCTCATTTCCCCTCCCTTCCTGTGCTTCTCTCCATTTTATTTCTTTGTTAAATATATTTTTAAAAATCGTTTTAAAAAAATCTAATTTGTTTTCCGGGTTCCACTTGTTGCACCTGAGTGGTGTTCTTGTAGGTACAGTGGTACCTTGGGTTACATACGCTTCAGGTTACACACTCCGCTAACCTAGAAACAGTGCTTCAGGTTAAGAACTTTGCTTCAGGATAAGAACAGAAATCAGGCTCCGGCGGCGCGGCGGCAGCAGGAGGCCCCCATTAGCTAAAGTGGTGTTTCAGGTTAAGAACAGTTTCAGGTTAAGTACGGACCTCCGGAACGAATTATGTACTTAACCTGAGGTACCACTGTACTTGGAAGTATGATCTTCCATGAAGAGTAGCTTTAGCAAAATTCACTTGATGCTTTTAAAAACTGGCACCAGTTTTAGAACAAGCTTTTAAAAACTGGCACCAGACGAATGGTGCATCCAGTTCCTCAGATTGCATTTGGAAAGCACCAGTGTGAAACCAGGATGAAAGCTTAAATGCGTTCTGCTTATACACAGATTAATAGAAACTCAACTCAACAATCAAACAAAACTACAAATCGGAGGGAACGGGGACATTGTGTTTGAACTATGCAGTTTTTGAGGTCATTTGAAAAACACACCACAAATTCAGAGGACGATACTTTAGAAAGCTAAATCTGAAGTAAGGTAAGTTCTACTGGTAATGTGAATAAAAGCATGAGCAGGTATTAAAATGTTCAGTTTTCTATCTCCCCCCATTTATTTCAAATTCTAGAACTGGCTGAGATTGACAGGCTTGAGTAGTGAAGGGGACACTTATCTCAAAATAGCAATGGGAAGCTTTTAGTAGCAATAACGCACACCGAATCTGGAACGGCAACACAAATGCACTGCAAGGTGAAACAAACTGAAGGGGGTGTCAAATCAGTAAAAAGCAAATACAGACATTTATGGTGAACGTCCCTAAATGTCCTATTTTGTGAATGTTTCACGATCACCCTAAAAAGCGAATGAAATACAGTACAAAATTACCTTTCCCCCTGGAATTAAACAAGGCAGGAAGAATATCCCCTTAAAAACCAACACTCTCAGAACTGCTTAAGGTTTTTCTTCTCGAAGAACAACTTCTTTTTGTAAATGTTATCTGCTGTAGGCTTCCAGATAGCTTCTACCCCAGGGTTTTCACACTGCCACAAGATCACACACATCAGAGTCAGCCTGGCTTCTGCAGAACCTTCAGCCTAAATCAGTACATTCCACAGGCTGCTAATGTGATCCCTGTCTCTGAGGAGAAGATCACGCATTCGCAGCGTAGAACAGTTTAACACTGATGACAACAGTGAGATGGCTGTGGGAAGTGAGCCTGCACCTGCCAGCACTGCCCTCTGCAGGAACAAAATTGAAGATTACTGCCATCTTGTGGATAAGGGAAATAGCTGCACTTTAGTGTACCTTTAGTGTACATTATTCACTTCCCCAACTTACTATGGGGGGGGGGGATACAGATACCTTACAGGTAAACTACAAACTCTTTTGCCTCCTTTTGCCCACCAGGCACCACATATCCAGTACTGTGGGCCCCCACCCTAAACTTCTGGTGCCTTATAGAATCATAGATTTGGAAGGGACCCTGGGGGTCATTTAGTCCAACCCCCTACAATGCAGGAATCTTTTTGCCCAATGTGGGGCTTGAACCCACAATCCTGAGGTTAGAGAGTCTCACGCTCTACCGACTGAGCTATACTATTGAAGACTTTCTTTCTTTTTTAAGCAGGCATTTTAGCTATGTTTTCTGATTACATGGCTTGCTTTAGCTGATTTTATTTTATGTTTTTAACCTTACCGAATACCATTTAGGGACTGAGTTGTGAGGCATACACATATTTTAAATAAATAAAATTATTTGATGGCTGCAAAAGTGCTTATGGGAACAACAACGGGAACAATTCAAACAGGAGGCTGCTTTGTGGTATACAAACTGAGGAAAACACACTGCTCTGTTTCCCTGCAGTAACACTCAATGAACAAGACTGTACTGTAGTAAAGCTTTGATTAAATAAACATTATTTTCATATAGCTGCTACACTAAAGCATAAATGCTTGAAGTCTAGCTGTGCAAATGTCTTAGAGTCAATAAACAAACAGCAGCATGATTTAAGGTGTCTTGTTCCCCAAATGAAGAAAGAGGGGGAAAGGAAGGAACAAGACTGTCCTCTGCTGAATCATCTACTAGATTACAGGTTTTCCTCATTACATAGCAGAGCAAACAGGAGAAAGAGTGAATGAGAATCCGAATATTATATGCCCCTCTCTGGGGATTGGTGTTTTAAAATAGTTCTCTGAGCAAACAAGATCTATGCAATATACATTTTTCAGACTCCCTCAGGCTGTAGGAAAGAAGGCTGCAGGGACAGTTCCAAGCCTGACCACAAAAGGTAGCTTTGCCTGGGCTGTTGTGGACATCCAAGCACCATCACCAGTTTACAGCAGCAAGGTTGCTACAAGATCATCATCCATGGCTCCAGAAGCCTTGAATGTCCTGCGAGAGACTAAGGAGTCTCGGTGTACCTGTGTAGGTTGCCATGCTCCTCTGTTAAGGGAGAACCAAAATGGCCAATGAAGAGGCCCCAAAGGGGATGACCTCTGCCTCTAACTGACAACCACACAAGATATGAAATTGCATTTTGTTTGTCCAAGTCTGGTTTCTTCCCTCTGGGAGTACACCGCACGTTCTTGACGGGTAAAGTTTCTATTTTATGGGGGAATTGCAATTCAGATGGATCCTTGCAAGTGCATGGATGAGGGTGGGCAGGGTGCTGAGAGTCCATACATGCACAAAGTGACCATGGAAACTGGCAAAATAAGGACAAAAAGCCCAGTCATGTTTGAGGTAAGGTGGGTGGCAACCAGGGATAGGGCCTTCTTAGCAGTAGCTCCTTCATCATAGGTCTCTCTCACCTGGCCACTCCATCAGCATCTACTTTGTGATACTTAAAACACCAAGCAAAAACTTTGCTATTTTAGGGAACTTCAACGGGACTGACTGATTCTGTTGCTAATTTCAATTTATCTTAATTGTCTGATGGCTCTCTGTTTAGTTGGATTTTAGAATCGGTTGTTAAGTGCTTATGTTTCATTGTTTCATAATACACTGCAGTCACAAAATACGTAGTGAATTTGTCTGAACAGCAAGATGATCAATATTTAAAATAATTAAAAAGACAGGTATTAAGGAAAAGCATAACTACAACTTTACTTTCACTAGCTTTAACAGTAAGCTTCCTAAAAATCTTATCTTCCTGTTTGTTGAAAAGGCTTTCAAGATCTTTTCCCCAACATTCAATAAAATTGTTTTTCTTTTTCTTTTTTGGCAGATCCCACAGACAGGATCTTATAAAACATTTTATATACAGCATTAGCATTCTATGCCACATAACTTTGCCAGTGCTCTACGAATGAGAGTAGTTTCTTCCAGTTTGCAGCGCAGCCACTCTTTCTGTGCAATCCAAACCCTGACCAGTAGGGGCTTAACTGAGCAGTGGGGCCACCACCCCATCCACAGCCCCATTGCTTACACCATGGTGGAAGGCAGGCAAATGCTAGATTAGGCTTGGACTGAGCCCAATGCCAAATAATGTAGCAACAGTGGGGGTCAGCTCTTTGTTCTGCCCACCTACACAGTCATGACGTGGAATGGAGAACTGGTAGGGCGAAGCTGGAAGAGGTTGGGAGGGTCAGGTAGAAAGAACCTTTCCCCAATCCAATGATCTATTCCCCCACCCCACCAGTCCAGTGCAAAGGGGATTTACCGTATTATTTGCTCTATAAGACACACCAGACCACAAGACGCACCTAGTTTTTGGAGGAGGAAAAAAATAAAAAATATATTCTGAGTCTCAGAAGCCAGAACAGCAAGAGGGATCGCTGCGCAGTGAAAGCAGCAATCCCTCTTGCTGTTCTGGCTTCTGTGATAGCAGCGCAGCCTGCATTCGCTCCATAAGACGCACACACATTTCCCCTTGCTTTTTAGGAGGGAAAAAGTGAGTCTTATAGAGCAAAAAATACGGTAAATCACACCGCCATATGCTAAAATTTTAAAGGCTCAGGAAGGAATGCGCAGTCCCTGGGCTTTGACAAATCTAAAGTTTCAAGGGGGCGGTTGAAAGCACACAGAAAAACAGAAGGGCCTTTTTGACAACAAAAGCAAAAAAAATTAAACGCAAGATTGTTTTGGTTCGGCTCTAATTGACTCCCCAGCGTCCCATTTTTAAAGAAACTCAGCATTAACAAAGCGAGCTAATAACCTAGTCTTCACTGTATCATATTAAACTACAAGCCTTCAGAATAAGCAAGTATCTGCTACTTGCTCTTTTTTTTTCTCCTCCTTTAAGTCCCTGGGACAAGGTGGGCTAGAATCAGGTAAAGGGAAATAACTGCAGTTCTAAGCATATAGCTTACTTGAAAGCACACACAAAAATCAATCCGACTAGCTTCCAAATAAAAATGGATATGATTGGGCTGCAGGTCATTAACTCTCATCGCACTCCAAAATAATTTCGTAAGGTTTCCCATTTAAAAAGATATTCCTAGCACATCGGGATGTTAAAGGGCCCAATATTTATTTATCATTCACTTGCCTTTCTGGGAGTCAGCCAAGGTGATGTACAATTTCTGGACTTGAAGGCAGTAAGACATCCTATATCATTCACATTTATCTCAATGTGTTTTAAAACCATCAAAAGATAATTTGTAGGAAGAACCTGAAAGACTTCAGAAAGCCAAGGCAGTTCCTGTTTCAAGTGCAGCTATGACATTGATACGAGCTAATAAAAGAAAATTACTGGTGCCTGGTAAATTTAATTCCTTTAAAACACACACACTCAGCTCTTCTGGTAATAAATTAAAGTTTTAAAAATATTTCTCTGTGTTATATTGTACACATTAATATTCTACACCTTGACATACAGCAAGACTTCTGCCATAGTAGAAGTAGCATGCATATTTCATCCTTGGGGAGTTAGCATTGTTGTAGCACAGGAGGTAGCACTGGGGGGGTGGGGTGGTAGAAGCCTCGTTTACAATTGGGGAGCGTTGAAAAAAATTAAGGGGGCAGTGGAAGCATAAAGAAGAAAATTTTGAAACATTGTTCGTACATGTTTCATCTGTTGTGTAACAATGCTTACCAATGCAACTGAGTTAAATTTGTAGTGATTAATTTCCCCCCCCCCCCAAATTGATAGCAGTGCACCAGGCTCATCCTTCTCATAAGGGTTATTTTTAAAAAGTTATTCATATTTTTTATTTTAATATCCTTCATCATCTTAATTTCCTGCCTGTAATGTGAATGTTAATATGGTTGATTTTAATAAACGATTTTATAATTTCCAAGCTTCAAGGTGTCTTATTGACAGCAGCATATTTCTTTCCTGTGTTGTTGGACATAGGTTAGAAACACAGATACATAAAAGAACACAAATTTGTCATTGCAGCTTTCTGTTTGCTTGTTTAAAGAATGTAGATTTTTTCCAGGGGCACCAAATAATTTTTTTTATTTTTTGGAAAAGGGGTTGATAAGGCCAAATAAGTTTGGGAACTTTTGCTCTATGGCTCTGCTGCAATGAAAGAAGCAGGAACGGGTGCAAAAACTCAGCATGAGGCCTTGGAAGCAGATCAACTGGTAGAGAAGAGCTAGTCAGTGTGGCTTCAAACTGGTTGCCTCTTCCCCAGAACTGCAGATCTAAGCTTACTAGCCAATGAGAGGGCTTACCAAACGCTTTTGATGATTGCATTCCACCAGTCCTCTTAACACATCCAAATTCATCTCGCCGACAACCAATGCATTTGCAAATAGAAGTTAATAAATTGCTGTTAAGCAGTGTACAATTTCATTTGATAAAGATGAATAGTGTCATCCTATTCGATACCAGTGGGCGTGGGGCAGTTAATCAAGTTGTTTACCAGCTGGAGAATGGGAGAGAGAGACAGATGCAAAAGAAATACTTATTGCTCTTTGTAATATGCTTTGGGGAGCGCAATCGCATTATCTTGGCAAGAATGTGCAATTGGATAAAGACACAATGCTGAAGACAAGTCGGCCCAAGGGGTCAAATGTACAAATCTTTACCACTTCCCGAAGATGAAAGTCAGGTCTAATACACACATCCGCAAGATGTGCACAACAAACTAATGCTTTGTCTTTCTAATGTGACTAATGCAGCAAGATAAATTAAACAAGATGGCAGAAGCCTAAAGTGGCAAAATAGACAGCACCATTGTGCTGCTGCCCCCACCAAAATATGAAAATAATAATAATCTGCAAGTGAAAACAAGAGCCGGAAAGAATGTGCTAGACTTCTTGTTGGGTTTTCTATTGCTCTTTTTGTGGAGTTTTTGACAGAACATTCAAAAATTGTCCCACACAAAATTGGCCACCTCATGAGAAGAGAAGACTCCCTGGAAAAGACCCTGATGTTGGGAAATATTGAGGGCACAAGGAGAAGGGGACGACAGAGGACGAGATGGTTGGACAGTGTTCTCGAAGCTACCAGCATGAGTTTGACCAAACTGCGGCAGGCAGTGGAAGACAGAAGTGCCTGGCGTGCTCTGGTTCGTGGGGTCACAAAGAGTCAGACACGACTAAATGACTAAACAACAACAACAGCAACGATGAATATTGCTTTTATGGTGCAGACTGCTTGGAATTTTTTTGAAATATTAAGTGGTTTAGAAATGCTTCCAAGTAAATAAATAAATGAAAAATACAGGTTGCTTCCAGCCAAGCTTTCAGACTTAAAACAGTATGGGCAGAAAACAAAAGATAATTGTTCACCTCCTTCAGCATTTTACTAGAGTAAATAAGTATCCTTGCTTCAATTCTGTGGCATGGAAGGAATTGGCAAAACTGATCTGATTTCTTGACTTCCATTCACTCCATTGCCTTAAGCATTATACAACACAGGCTCAATCAAGGCAGTTTTGGAATCATTCTATAATAAAAGTAGAATTTCTCCTGCACCTTTTTGTTGTTGTTGAACGGTCTGAAGTCAACAGCACCAATAAAAAACGAAGCAAAATACAGAAATAGTATAAGCTTTCATAGGTAATCAACTACTCTGGGGCTCAGCAGGCACCTCCTTCCTGACCAAAGTCCACAGTATATGTAGGAGAAGGATCCATGACCATATGGAACTGAGAGGTCTGAGAAGAGAAGAAGAAGCGTTTGGATTTGATATCCCGCTTTATCACTACCCTAAGGTGTCTCAAAGCTGCTAACATTCTCCTTTCCTCCCCCACAACAAACACTTCTGTGAGGTGAGTGGGGCTGAGAGACTTCAAAGAAGTGTGACTAGCCCAAGGTCAGCCAGCAGCTGCATGTGGAGGAGCGGAGACGCGAACCCAGATTACGAGACTATTGCTCTTAACCACTACACCACACTGGCTCAGTATATATAGGAGAAGGATCCAAGACCATATGGAACAGAGAGGTCTGAGAGGAGAAGCGAGATGCTCTGCTGAGGTGACAGTGGAAAGTCACTAGCTTCTGTCAGCTGGTTCCCTTGGGGGAAGGCCTATCATCAGCTCAAGTAATAACCTCTATCTCCATCAGTTATTGTCTAGGAAGAAGAGTAGCCTTCTTCTCTCACCAGATGAGCCCAAGGCTTGTTCAACACCTTGGATTCCACTGGATAAGGAAGATGTAAAGGAAAGGTGCCATTCAAAATATGCAACTGGGTAAATCTCCAGGCCCAGACGGTTTGACCTCTAGATACTACAGAGCCTTAAAAGACTGGTTAATTCAACCATTGAAAGAGGTCTGTAACGAAATAATGGAGGGGAGGAGGGCACCAGAGTCGTGGAAAGAAGCATATATTACACTTGTACCAAAAACAGAGGCTGAAAAGACTCAACTAAAGAACTACCGCCCAATATCATTACTTAATGTGGATTACAAAATTTTTGCAGATATTTTGGCGAAGAGATTTTAAAAAGTGCTGTTGGAAGAGATTCATCAAGACCAAGCGGGCTTTCTCCCAAGAAGACACTTGTCCGATAACCTAAGGAATATAATTGATATTTTGGAAAAATTAGAAGTGAATATAAACACTAAAGCAGTGTTGATATTTGTAGACGCGGAGAAAGCCTTTGACAATATTTCTTGGAATTTTATGAAGAAGAATCTTCAGGGTATGGGGGTAGGCCAAGGTTTTGAGAATGGTATAGGTGCAATTTATTCTGAACAAAAGGCTAAACTAATTGTAAATAACGTTGTGACGGAAGAACTTAAAATTGAAAAAGGGACACGACAAGGGTGCCCAATTTCCCTCTTCTTTTATTTCGGTCCTGGAGGTGTTGCTGAACATGATTAGAAGGGACCAGTTGGTTAAAGGTATACAGGTCGGAACTAAACACTATAAATTGAGAGCTTTTGCAGATGACTTAGTATTGACGTTACAGGAGCCAGAATCTAGTACAAAAAGGGTTTTAGAACTGATTCAAGAATTTGGTCAAGTGGCAGGATTTAAATTGAACAAATTAAAAACCAAGGTTTTAGAGAAAAATTTAACACCATTTGAAAGAGAGAGGTTTCAGAATGAGACAGGGTTAACAGTGGTTAAGAAAGTTAAATACCTGGGGATTAATATGACAGCAAAAAAATGGGAATTTATTTAAAGACAACTATGAAAAATGTTGGTCAGAAGTGAAAAAGATTTAGAAATTTGGTCAAACTTGAAGCTTTCACTGCTAGGCCGTATTGCTGCGATAAAAATGAATGTATTGCCTAGAATGTTGTTTTTGTTTCAAACTTTGCAGATTGTTGACAAAGTGGACTGTTTCAAGAGGTGGCAGAAAGATATTTCTAAATTCGTCTGGCAGGGCAAGAAACCTAGAATAAAATTTAAAATACTAACAGATGCAAAGGAAAGAGGTGGATTTGCCCTGCCAGACCTCAAACTTTACTATGAATCAGCAGCTTTTTGCTGGTTGAAAGAATGGCTACTTCTTGAAAACACTGACATTTTGGATTTGGAAGGTTTCAATAATGTATTTGGATGGCATGCATATTTATGGTATGATAAGGTCAAAGCACACAAAGCATTTAAAAACCACATTGTCAGGAAAGCATTATTTAATGTTTGGATTAGATATAAGGATTTGCTAGAAAATAAAACCCCAAGGTGGCTGTCACCAATGGAAGCGAAAGCCTTGAAAAGGGTCAATATGGAGGTCAAATGGCCGAAATATTGGGAAATTTTGGAACAAGACGGAGATAGACTGAAATTGCAGAGTTTTGAAAAATTAAAAACAAAGTGCGAGACTGGCTTCATTATTATCAAATAATGGAGGCATTTAAATTAGACAGGAAAATTGGCTTCCAGGTGGAAAAATCAAAATTAGAAACAGAATTGTTAGAACCCAATACCAAGAATCTGTCAAGAATGTATAACTTGCTGCTGAAATGGAATACTCAAGATGAAACGGTAAAATCGGCTATGATTAAATGGGCACAGGACGTAGGACACAACATTATGTTTGCTGACTGGGAACAGTTATGGACCACTGGTATGAAATTTACGGCATGTAATGCCTTAAGAGAGAATATTATGAAAATGATATACAGGTGGTACATAACCCCAGTCAAGCTTGCGAAAATCTATCACTTGCCCGATAACAAATGTTGGAAATGTAAAGAAACTGAAGGTACATTTTTTCACCTTTGGTGGACGTGCCCAAAGATTAAGGTTTTCTGGGAAATGATATATAATGAACTAAAAAAGGTATTTAAGTATACCTTCCCCAAGAAACCAGAGGCCTTTCTCCTAGGCATAGTGGGCCAAATGGTGTTAAAAAGGGATAGAACTTTCTTTATGTATGCAACAACAGCAGCAAGAATACTCATCGCAAAGTATTGGAAGACACAAGAACTTCCCACGCTGGAGGAATGGCAGATGAAACTTATGGACTACATGGAATTGGCGGAAATGACTGGCAGAATCCGTGACCAGGGAGAAGAGTCGATGGAGGAAGATTGGAAGAAATTCAAAGACTATCTTCAGAAACACTGCAAAATTAAGGAATGTTAGAGTGATGTTGGATTGAAAATAAGTGGTTTCCAGCTGTACAGGTTAAAGCTAAGGATAGATTAAGATTAAAGATTAAGATTAAAGATGTTTAAAGAAATGGAAATTTGATAATAAAAGGGAAAAATTTAAAGGTATATGACATTAAGAACAAGGATTATGTTTAAAAAAGCTGAAGCTATATAGTTTAATATTTCATTAAATTAAAGATTGGGTTTAAAAAAGTGGAAAAGAAACTGCTGGACAAATAATGTAGATTGGAATACAAAAGAGGGAGGTATGAGGAAGTCCAGAAAATAAGTAATTCAAAATTGGGAATGTAAAAGAGAGTTTGTTTTAAATTGTTATGTTGTGTGTTTCTATTGTTAAATTTTGTATTGTTTTTGTGTGTGTGTTGCTTTTTCTTTTTTCTTTGTTTAAAACTTTAATAAAAATTATTAAAAAAAAAAAAAAGGAAGATGTAAAGGAAAGACCTTCAGGAGTGACATTCAAGCATCTAACAGCACAAGGCTGGATAAAAATCAACGATTTAAAAAATAAATAAAAATCAGATTTATTTTTTTTACTTAAATCGGATTTTTAAAATTTAAATTAGATTTTTAAAACAAAATGCTTTTGGAGGAAAAATCTTTCTAAGGATAGTTTTCCATTTAAGTTACATTATAGTCCAAAGGCTATCCATCAGGAAATAAGGATTTGTTTTAAGTTTTTCATGTGTGCTAAAACTCAGTCTAAGGGTTTTTTTTAAATTGTTTAACCACATCAGTTAACAAACATGGATACATACGCTATAATGTTATTGTTTTAGTTAAATAATTTGTTATTAAGGAAATGATTATTTTTCTCTTTCCAATAAAGTACAGCAGAAAAGTTGTCCAAATATAAACAGTTAACTTATTAAACCTCACAATAATTTCATAATTATCTGTCTATGTATTTATAATAGTATAACCAAATCAATAATTTTTGATATAACTGTAAAAACAGCTCTGAAAATTTATTACAAGTATTCCAAAAATTAAACCTTTACCTGGTTGTAAATATTAAGATTATACCAGCAAGAATCAATCTTTCTGTAAAGATAAAATAAAAAATGTTTCAAATCAAGTCTTACTGACTAGTGATTTAAATTATGATTTAAATAAATTTGATTTAAATCAAATCCACCCTGAACAGCACTAGAGCCCGACTTGGGCATCAGCCAACAAATATTCTTTTGCCTGATAAAGAACATGGGATAGAATGGAGGAACACGGCGACTGAGTGGGAAATCACAGAAGGGCTGAAGAGGAAAGGGTGAGGAGGGGACAAAAAAGTCAAAAAACCACACAACCACAACAAAATCCTTAAATTCCTGTACCTATAATCACATTAAATACTACTAAAGAATTCATTGAAGATCAACGGACAAATGTACTGGAGTTAATTTCAAAACATGGAACATAATCTGTTAGGAATTATAAAACAATTGTATGCAGAAAATGATAAAAATAGGAATGTCTATTGATGATAAAAAGGCACACAGACAAAATATGCCTCCAACCATAGCGGGTGTAGCAGGTGGCCAAACCAGAAACCAAACTCACAACAATCAGGAATCTTGCACTAAGCTAAGAAACCCAGAGTGGAAGTAATTTGTGTTGAAACTTTCAGGCAGTAATATTGATTAGCTGTTAGGAATGAATTTATTGCACGGCTTCCAGTGGGCTTTTTTCTTTTATGTGAAGGACGGGGGGGAAAAAAGGGCTACTATTTTAGCAGAGCTATACAGAAGGAAGAGGCCAATGAATCTCCTCCCTAGATAAACCTTTAGGTTTATGGTACAGTTAGGAGAAATATACTGTGGATTCTACAGCGCTACTGCTCACTTGTTCCTAAGAGGGTTTTTTTTGGGGGGGGGTTTGCATTCAGCTAACTTTTATTCAAGAAAGGAGTGGCTATGATTAACGTAGTCCCATTAATTTTAATGGGTTTATTCTAGGTAAACATTAGTTCAAGCTTCCTCAAACTCGGCCTTCCAGATGTTTTTGGCCTACAACTCCCATGATCCCTAGCTAGCAGGACCAGTGGTTGGGGATGATGGGAATTGTAGTCTCGAAACATTTGGAGGGCCGAGGTTGAGGAAGCCTGCGTTAGCTGAATACAGCCCAACATTTTAACTGATTGAAACTTGGTGAGGGGTGAGGACTGTTACTCATGTTGTTGTTGTTGTTTAGTCGTGTCCGACTCTTCGTGACCCCATGGACAAGAGCACGCCAGGCACTCCTGTCTTCTACTGCCTCCCGCAGTTTGGTCAAACTCATGCTGGTAGCTTCGAGAACACTGTCCAACCATCTCGTCCTCTGTCCCCCCCTTCTCCTTGTGCCCTTCATCTTTCCCAACATCAGGGTCTTTTCCAGGGAGTCTTCTCTTCTCATGAGGTGGCCAAAGTATTGGAGCCTCACCTTCAGGATCTGTCCTTCCAGTGAGCACTCAGGGCTGATTTCCTTCAGAATGGATAGGTTTGATCTTCTTGCAGTCCATGGGACTCTCAAGAGTCTCCTCCAGCACCATAATTCAAAAGCATCAATTACTCATAGATTCCTTTAAAAATAACATTCCCAATAAATATTCTGCATTTCCCTATCCTTCTACATAGAACAGGCCTGAGGTTGCTGCTCTGCGTAGTTGTATGGGCATATGTCTTAATAATGGGAAGGAGAAATGGAAAGAGTGGTTTAAATATGAAGTGTGCAGGTCACTGTAGAACAGCACACATGTTGGCTGACTTACATGTACATGTGTACCATTCAGGATCAATCATCATTTGCATCCGTTTCCATGGCCTCATCTGAACCCAGGGGCGGCCTGTCCTGTTTTGCCGCCTGAGGCAAAACGGGAATTGCCGCCTCCAGTCCCACCATCGCCTCCCGGTTCTCACTGAACTCAGTGGGAGCCAGGCGCTTTCCCAAGTGTTGCTGTTCAGCTTCTCCCCCCTGAGGCAGGGAAGATGAGTGGCAACGCCATAGAACGCTGCCTTCTGCACTTACACTGCCTGAGGCAGGCTCTTCACCCCACCTCATGGGTCGTGCCTAGCTAAAAAAAAATTCAGGTTTTTTACAGTAAACAATGCCTTAAATAAACAAAATGTGTGTCACCTTGTTCATACACAACTCCCAGATATGCTAGCCTGCTGGCAACTTCATGAGGCAGGTATGCTGGGCTTCTTTCAATTCTGTGAAGCTCTACAATGGATTCTGTTTCTTTGGCATCCTTGCAGGATGGTTTTGTTTTTGTTTTGCTTTTTGATAATGGCACTGAACCAGTCATGCCTCTCCCACACAGGGCTGGATTTAGGTTTGATGAGGCCCTAAGCTCCTCAAGGTAATGGGGCCCTTTATATGTCCAGCTGTCCTTTGTCAACGACAAATTGTCGCTGTTTTTTGTGTTGAATATATGCTATATGGTAATTTATGGACCTAATAGGTATCTAAAGCCATTTGCACATAACAAAATACGTATTTTATCAAAGTAATTGTTGAACTGAAATACAATTAAGAAGTAGTATATTAATGGTGAAAATTTTGGGGGGCCCCCAAGAGAGTGGGGCCCCAAGCTATAGCTTGTTTAGCTTATGTGTAAATCCGGCACTGCTCCCACAGTTCTTCTCTGCCTTTGTAGCCATCTTCACACAGCCCATCCCAGGTACAAGGCCAATCTGTGTCTCACACAATGAGTATCAGGAGTGGTACTTTTCAACACTCATCACAAGAATAGTATTATTTGAAAAGACAAAGAATTTTTGTAAAGAGATACAGGCAAGCATCTTAAACCATTGCAAAAGGTTGTTTAAAGCACAGGGGTGGGAAGAATCTCAGAAATATTCCTCTCCACTCCTCCCTCAGGATGAAGTAGCTGATGTTGGATTCTTCTTGGACACTTATAGGCTATTTCAGCACAGTAGCTCAAAAATGCCAGGCACACTTCTCACGAAACAAAGAGCTAGGTGCGCAGGTGTTAGGGATGGAAGAGTATTTCTGGTCTCTTCTCATTTTTGCAGGTGTTCATTCATATGTCAATTGTGTGCATTTGTATACAGTATATGAAAAAATATATTTAAAATATATATTGAATTGTATATTCTATCGTGTTTTTTAATTTCTTTTTACATACTTTATCGGAAATTTTTGAAGAAGCACAAAAGATAATTACATTCTGATCCATGTATTGGTCTGGGAGTCGTGAATTAGGTCAGTTTTCTTACAAATGAAGCAGAAAACCCTGAAACTCCTCTATCTCTGAGAGTTTTAAACCAGGGTCTATCAACAACATCAAGGTGAGTTCTAGCTCAGTGGCATATTTGTTGCTGCCTCATCCTGCACAACAAATATTATGATGATCTAGCAACCATCATCATTCATGACCATCCTACTGGAAATAGAGAACAAAAACCTATTTCTGGAGGAATTGCTCTGAAGCACAGGAGGGATTTGATTGAAAACTAACCAAGTTTTACTCTGAGAAGACCCACGCTGAAACTATTGGACCTAACTTAAGTCATGTGCATTAATTTCAGTGTGTCTACTCTGAGCAAATCTGAAAACCAGTCTCAGTCATCTAAGGATGTTTAACAGTGGAAGTTTTCATGCCCAGCGAATAGGCAAAGGTATTGACAAGAGATGCTAGATATGTGGTTACCATGGTTACTCTGTGGCACATGAGAAGGTATTCCAAGTTCAGAAGCATTTTATTTCCCCTTACTTTGTATGATTCAGCTAAACCCTAGTGTGCTGAAAAGAAAACACAACACACGCAACCAACCAACCAACCAACCAACCACCACACATGCAAGCTCTTCCATGTTTGGGTTGGCAGTGTTTGTATGCATTGCCCCAAAATGATCTTAGGTATGACAGTGTTATAAACTGCAAGAAGCAAATCTGCAAGTGAAGTCCACTTTGTATGATGCTAGAGGTGACATTCCAGAAATATGGAGGCTTTGGCAACAATACCACCCCCCTTGCCTGGGAGGGAGGGGAGAAACACCCTTAAATTGCGAAGAAAGAAAAATGTATGCAATGACTTTATCATTGTCAAACCTAGATGTGGATTAAGAACATGAAATAGATTTAAGTATCTTGGTGCATAAATATGCAGAGTTATGAAATATCAAGAAGTGAGCCAACATGGCCTTGCCCTCATATTGCAACATGCGGACCTTCACTCTTGAGGGTTTTCTGGTCTCTGCAAGAGAGATTCAAGTTTGTTGATTTAAAAAAAAAAAAAACTATTTTAAGAATGTAAGCGTCACTTCAACACACAACCAATTATCACCATCACCTGTTGGGAGGTACCCAACGTATCCCTGTACAACTCCCGCAGCCAAGCTGGTGCCAAACATTGTTCCGCTTTCCTTTGGACCACATCAGCGAGGCCAAGCGGTCCGTCCATCTGGGCAGTCCAGGACCTCCATACACATTGCCCAGGCTTGCAACCCAGGGAGGTCACTTTGGGGCTGCAATGCAGAGGTTTGACTTCACCTCCAGAGATGCACTCCTTTGTATTTCAAGACAGATGGATGCCAACTAACTCCAAGTATGACTTAGCTGGACTATCACCCATTGTCTTTGCATGCTATGGATTCAGGTTCAGAGGCCTTTGTCTTGCAGAATAAAGAATCTAGCAAATCAATGTGGCTACTGAAGGCATCAGTTAGACACAAGAACGTAAGAGCCTGCTTGATCTGACCAATGACCCATCTAGTTCAGCATCTCACAGTAGCCAATCAGATATCCATGGGGAACCTGCAAGCAAGACCCAAGAACAAGAACACTCTCCCAGTGTTTTCAGCAACCGGTATTCAGAAACATTACTGTCTCTGACTGTGAAGGAGCAGCATTAAGAGACAGCACAAACACCAACGTTTGCAATAGGAAAACAAGGTTAAAATCCAAGTAAGAGGGGGCCCCGTAGTACAGTAGTGATAATTATATATTAGTCTAACAATTAAGCACAAATGCAGCTTCAGATTACAACTTGCAGCATGAATTCTTAGTCTCAAAAATGTTATTATTACTTATAAGAAGTGCTGTGTTGTGACATCACAACAAAGAACAAACATGATTAATGCTACTTCCCTGTCAAAAGCTTTCACTCTTTGTTCCTTTATAAGCCAGATGGTGTGCCTTAAGGAGCTTATCCTACAGAAGTGTTCTTAAGTAAATAGATAACCACAAAAATACTTTGGGAACAGCCAGAGTTCAAGTTTAAACAGCTTGAAGCAACCACGTTATTGATTTAGGTACCGGCATTTGATGGATGATAGCTTATCTGTGGCTCAAAATTAACACTACATTAATGCCCTTGTCAAAACCATCAACTTACTTATTCAAAATGTTTGGGGTGGGGGATGGGGAAGGATGCTTTCAAAGCAAAAAATTCATTGAAAAAGTTCTTACAAGGTTTCTTCCAACTTCATGCTTGTTGAATCCATTTCATTTAGAACCCTCTATTTTTTCCAAAAAACAAAACAAAACAAAACCCTAGCATCATGGCCACTGGTCCCATCACATCCTGGCAAATAGAAGGGGAAGAAATGGAGGCAGTGAGAGATTTTACTTTCTTGGGCTCCATGATCACTGCAGATGGTGACATCAGTCACGAAATTAAAAGACGCCTGTTTCTTGGGAGAAAAGCAATGACAAACCTAGACAGCATCTTAAAAAGAGGACATCACCTTGCTGACAAAGGTCTGTATAGTTAAAGCTATGGTTTTCCCAGTAGTGATGTATGGAAGTGAGAGCTGGACCATAAAGAAGGCTGTTCGCCAAAGAATTGATGCTTTTGAATTAGGGTGCTGGAGGAGACTCTTGAGAGTCCCATGGACTGCAAGAAGATCAAACCTCTCCATTTTTAAGGAAACCAGCCCTGAGTGCTCACTGGAGTGCTCCAATACTTTGGTCACCTCATGAGAAGAGAGGACTCCCTGGAAAAGACCCTGATGTTGGGAAAGATGGAGGGCATAAGGAGAAGGGGACGACAGAGGACGAGATGGTTGGACAGTGTTCTCGAAGCTACTAACATGAGTTTGACCAAACTGTGGGAGGCAGTGAAAGACAGGAGTGGCTGGCGTGCTCTGGTCCATGGGGTCACGAAGAGTCAGACATGACTAAACAAAATTTTTTCCAAGTTTCTTAAACGGTACGATCCTTTCCCGCAGTCTAGCCAAGCACTTTGCAAAGTTTCTTTTTTAAGAAGCTATTGCCGAATTTTTCAGTTTAGTGTCTGAAAATTTAGCAAAAGACAGCTTTCACAAATAAATATTCCAGCTTCATAGTGGTCCAGTTTGCAAGTCACATTGAAGCATAAAACATTGTTTTTAATGAACATTGGTTTCATGTGAGAGAGCAGCAGGAAGCTGCTCACCTTAGTGGACTAAGCAAGCAAGAGCTGTTGTGTCATCCAGACCTGGGCTTGGTCCCCCCCCCCCCGGAGATCAGCCAAGAAAAAACCTTGGTTACTGCTTGTGGCTTGTTTGGAAGAAACAAATGAGCCCAGGTCTTGATGACATAGCAAGCCAGACTGTGGCTTCTTTTGTCTGCAAGCAAGGGAGGAACACTGCGGGAAACTTTGAAGAACGTGCAAGAGCACTCTGCTTGTTCGCATTAAACCACCGTCTGCTTCAAACAATGGTTCAAAAGTGACCTGCCAATAAGGTCAACCTAACATCTTGTGCATGGTGCCCCTAATTATACTGATTAAATTGTGTAATCCTGCTGTAATAATGACATTCTGCAAAATGTGCGATGCAACGGAGGAGTGCCTTTGGACAAACTGATGATGGGAAATAGAGAAGAGGAACAGGAAATGAAGTGTAAACACCTCATGCTTCTGTCAACCATGCAAATTAGAATCCTGTGCAACAACACTAGTCAGAAATATACCACCCAGTTAAGAGCAATAAACCTGATAAATGACAGCTGCATGTCACTGACATGAAATCTCACCTGGATCATGGATACTACGCAGGGCCAAAAGGGGGCAGATCATGGATAGCTTGCAATGGCAAAAGTGGGGCAAAGAAGAACAGTTTTGGGATGCTAGACTTCAGCTTGGCAGAAAAAGAAAGACCACAGAAAGAGGAGCAGCTATAGGTTACGAATTAAAAGCTGTACCAAACACAGGCTCCATGCCAAAACTGAAATAGAAATAAATAAAACCAAGGCTTTTTAGCTCTAAGTACCCTTAATTATAACCTTGTCCACTCACAAGGATGCATGGCTAATAAAGCTAGAGACAAACAGAGTAGAGAAGTGCAATATTTATCCTAAATAATGTGGGGAAGCTTGAAAGCATATAGAAAAAATGCACAGACGAATGAAGATCTATACTGAAATACAGTCACCTAGCTATACTTTATTGGTCCTTTTTTTCTTCCGTCTCCGGCTAGACAAGCTTGCCATGAATCACTTTTCATTCTGCCTAGGCTATAAAACACCTGCCCAAGTAACAGGGGAAAGGAATAATGGGATACAGAAATGTGTGGCATCCTCAGCCTGATCCTACCATATTTTGCTACTGACAAATTTGTCTGTACCTGTAATTCTTAAATACGCCAAAAAAAAATTGGACGCCACACTTTTGCCAATGCAGCTTAGATTTACGGACTGAAAATGCACTTGCCTCATACGTGTGTCACTTACGATCTTCCCCATGTGGCAGTCCCAATGCCATGTTACATTTCCCCAGCTCCACTGTTGCTTGGTGTACTGAAGTATTGGCAGCCCCAGTTCATTTCAACTGACAGGCCTCGCCAATGCATGCAATCTCATGCTATTTCCCTTCCTTTCAATAAACGAAGCTATTCTTATGGATAGAAGAACTCCATGCAAATTCACTTGCCGTCCACAAACAATTCCTGAATTGGAGGAAGTGGCTGCTATGCACATTTTAAAATATATATATAAAATATAAAATTCATTGGTTTCAATGGAAAATAAGTGGGTGTTCTAAGTGCATCCAGCTGTTCTTTCAGGCAAGCTATTCGTTTTATGAATTTCTCATGCACCGAGAAATTCATAAAATGAACACCTATCTGACTAGGAGTGGGAAATAAGCTATTGCATTCTCCTTTCACTGCTCTTTAAATCAGACCACTTAATACAAATGCCCACAACTTAAACTGCTTAGTATTACTAGGAAATCCTTTCTATGTGAGAGCAGCATAGTTCAGTTAAAGATATGGCATATGTCACTCCAAAGTATCTGTGCTGCGTGTAGTAGGTCTAAGGTTCAATCCCCTTAAGGTTCAAGCCCCCTGGCTCAGCAGAAGGCACCTATGGAGTTAAATCATATACCACATTCAAGCTCTCTAGTACTTTGGAGCAGAGGAGGAGCCTAGGGGATTGCCACATATGACAGAGAATTGAGCAGGATGGAAGGTAGGTAAAGGTAAAGGGACCCCTGACCATTAGGTCCAGTTATGGCTGACTCTGGGGTTGTGGTGCTCATCTTGCTTTATTGGCCGAGGGAGCTGGCATACAGCTTCCGGGTCATGTGGCCAGCATGACTAAGCCACTTCTGACGAAGCAGAGCAGCACACGGAAACGCCGTTTACCTTCCCACTGGAGTGGTACCTATTTATCTACTTGTACTTTGACGTGCTTTCGAACTGCTAGGTGGGCAAGAGCGGGGACCGAGCAACGGGAGCTCACCCCGTCGTGGGGATTCGAACCGCCGACCTTCTGATCAGCAAGTCCTAGGCTCTGTGGTTTAACCCACAGCGCCAAGGTGTGGGACACCAAATTTTGGCCTTGTACAGGGCACTGCTGAAATCTGAAATACCAAAGTGTGCCCCATTCGTAGACCCTGAAACCCAGTTCCTCCATATATAAATATATATTTGAAGCCTGATCCACAGTTTAGTAAGGTCAATGGTAGGTATCCTTCCCTCCTTAGTTAGCATCAGGGCATTTTTTTCCAGCCGGAACTCAGTTCTGGCACCTTTCAGGTCGGCGCCATTGCCATTATAAGAGAACAAAGGAGGCGTTCGTGGTGAGTCATCCAGCACCTCTTTTTCTAGAAAAATAACACCGATTAACATGAATAAAGACTCTAGGTATAACATTAATAATGGGATTTACTCAACCGAAGCATTAGGACAGGAGAAGAATTAAGGCAGCGCCACCTTATTATGCCAAAGAGCAACAAAGAAATGTATAAAACAAGGAAGCGAGAAGTCAGGTAAAGGGAAACTTGGGAATAAATTTACCATTTACCTGTAACTTTCAGCTTTAAACAATGACCTCGGGGGCGGGGGGGGGGCACCGGTCAAGAAAAATGTCTCACCTGGAGTATTGGCATCGCTGTCATCACTCTCAGAGCTGCCATTGCTGGGTTCGTTATTAGCAGCTGGTACATAATCTCCGGGGGGTAGATTCACTGTGTACATTTTCCTTGGAGGCAGACTCACACGCTTTTCACCTAGAAGATAACAACAAAACTGTTTATTCAAGTTGGCTGCACTGCTCTGGCAGAGAGAAAAATAAGGGAAAATTGGTTTGGCTGCCCTCATCCGCAGGAAGAAGCTACACAGACTGAAGCAGGTGGACTGACAAATTGTTCCACGTGAATAAAAATGACAAATCTGCTTCACCAGTGGTGCCCAGTTAAAAGAATCCTGGGGGCAGGATGGGGGCGACTCACGGTATCAGTTTATCATCTTTAAGAAATGTTGAGGTACCTGACTAATGAAATGTACACCAATTGATTATGGCTGTGCTTTTTCATGTGAACAATTTCGCAGAACTGTCATGAACTTTCCCACTTACCTTGTCAGAACTACATAAACAGGGTTCGAAGACTGGGGAAAAAGGTTGGTTTATGGTAAGTAGAAAAGTTGGATGTTATTATGAAGTAAGAATTTTACATCAGTTTTTTAAGCTGATAGATGAATCTTTCAAGCTTGAATAAAAATTAAAAGAAAGGAAAAGGGAGGAGGGGACCTACATGAACACGTGGATACGGTCACTAAGGCTGCATCAGTGCGGATACAGCCAAAAGCTACATCTTATCAACTGCAGCACCTGATCTGCAGCCCAGTGTGTCTCTGGTTTTCCATGAAATTTGATAAACGCTGCTGGGAATGCTACTGCAAAAAATAATTACGCTTAAATGCTGCTCTGATCTACGGTGCACATTAATAAAGACAGCAATTCTCTCACAAATCACCTTGCAGAGTGGATGAAAGGAACGTAAGGAACCCCACTCAAAAGAAGTTACAGTACACTTCTGAAAAGCATCTTAATGAGACAGCTTTAATAGAATTTGGCCACACTCACCAAAATTCAGTTATGCCATTAAATCTATAGCTATTGAGAAACTGAACAGAGCTGAAGGAACGCCTGCTCCCACAACGATTGCTTTCATGAGGTCGTGTCAGCTTTCTGTGCACATTGCAGACTTCAAGGAGCAGGGATTCCCATAGATCTTGACGAGACATCTTAATTTCTTTTGTTCAGCAGAAGAAATTAGGACATTTCACAGGGTTCAGGAGACTGAATTCCTTGTGCTCATCTCATCACCGCTGCCTATTTGTTTCTGACAGCATCAAAATACCCACCCCGCCCTGAGCCTCGCATTGTCTAAACCCAACTCTTTCAGAGGTCGCAAATGGAAAACAGAAATAAATGCAGCCCAAGATATACAAACTGATTAATCATGCAGTCTGAAAAAAGACAAGACATCAAGGAAAAATTAATTGAAACTATTCAAGTAAATTCATTTCCCTAAATTCATGCTAAATCCCTCAAACTGCCAAGTCTTGGATCCAATTTCTCCTATCACTGTTGATTAATAATGAGGTGTTAAATCAAGCGCTGGAATTAATGAGAAGCAAACGTGAAAGTTAAAGGGTGTTAGACTCCTCTGCAGGCGTTTTTTTAAGGCAGGCTCCTTTCCCTGCAGAAAGTTCGTTCAAAAACAGAACTGCAAAAGGTTTAGGGAGATACAAGTTCGGCATCTGCAAGATTTCCAGTAGCCTAGGCATACCCTTACTGAAGCTCTTGCACAAGAACATGTTGATGTATAAACATTCCCCACTCTCAAAGGGTCCCATTCTCCATGTTTCTGTAGGGCTCACTGTTCTGGATGGACCTTTCCAGAGGGAAGGCAATATCGCCATGTCTCTTGCTAGGTGGGTTGTTAGAAGCTGGATCCTTGCCCTGCCAACCTGTCTGTGAAGCCATCCCCGATAAAGCTGTGGCCTGCTACATTTCAATCACTCTCTGTGTTGGTTCCTCCTCTCTCTGGCCTGAGGCTACAAGACAAAAATCACCTGACCAGATGCCTGCTCTGGCCCTGTTAGAAATGGCCAGAGCAGTGAAGCATGCAGAGAAACAGTGGGCAGCCTCTAGAAGGATGAGAGGGTGCTGGCAGTAACTCCTCCTGAATAGAAAGACTTGCTTCCAAGTAAAACATGCAAAGGATTCCACTTTTTTAACTTGTTTCTCATGGGCACGCATTTAATAATTACTCTCCTAAACTATTAATGAAGGCTTAAGGTGGCTTTTGTTTCCCTCACGATATCCAAGGGGCTTCTGCTTTGAAATCAGAGAAAGCCATTTATTTATTTCTGGAAACAAGGTTTCTAGCACATATATTAGCGTTGCCATACGTCCGTAATTTCCCAGACATATCCGGAATACAGCATTCGGAAGCAGTTTCTGGACGGAAATCGCTAAAATGGTGATTTGGCTTAAAAGTAGCTCAAAAACTTCATTTTTGTATGTGTGAATTTGCCAAAAAAAGGTCAACAACTGTGGGCAGGATTCCTGCACTGCATGAGGTTGGACTAGATGACCCTCGGAAGTATCTTCCAACTCTAAACTTCTAATGATTATGTTAAACTTAGGGTAGAGCATTGAACAGGCTGTCAAAGAAGTTATTGCAGGCAAGCCCTCCCTCCCCTCCACATTTTTGTGAAATGTGGTTTTATCTACCTGTCTACACTTACATGCACAGACTGTTGTTAGTATTGCCTTATTCCAGTAAGTAAGGGCATGCTGACTTTATCTGAACTTCTTTGGATAAGTCACAAGCCAAACACACCTTCATAGGAACAATTTGATATGGCCCTTCAGAATACAAAAGCAAAACAAAACCCAGAACACTGTATTGTTGTTATCTAGTTTCTGAAGATTTGAAAGGGGGGGTGTCGGGCAACAATTTATTCCACCCCACTGTAGATGCCAAATGAAGAGAAAGCCCAACTGTAATGGTCATTTTGGGTCTCTAGAGAAAACCTTCTGAAGGCATTGGGGAAGATATAAGATGTCCAAACAGAGACAGAATTAAAAACAGCAGTTCGTGGATCCAGATGGGAAAAAAATAATGGCCTCAGAACATTATGAATAATCAACATTGATAGTTATCATAAAATCAGTCACCAGTAAACAAATTCTTGATTGAAAGGTATTTAAAATGTCATAGTCTGCTCTGCAATGTAGTAATTACAGTCCGTTGCTCTTTCTTGCCACAGTAATTAACCGCTAAAACGAATTGTTTTAATCAGTCTGAAAAGTTGTTTATTCCATTATTGTGCTGCCAAAATTCCTTATGAATATGTATAGAGGAGGTTTGCCTTGTATGCCAATATATCACTGATACTCAAGTCTTTGGAATCAGGGAAACTTTGGACGCTTCTACTAGAGGCATGCTAAAATGCATGCAAACATTATCCAGGTCTAAGACAACAGTACTGCTGAAGTAGTAAAAAAAGAAAAGAAAAAGGTATTTATGCACTTACATAATCAATTCATGTAAACGTAACTTAGGAAGATGCGCCTACATTGAATCAGAAAGGTCATGCTAAAATCAAGATTTATTGCGGCATTGGGTTATTGGTTCCAGCAATAAATATGCCACTCTTGCGAGACATATACCATTTCTTATTATTTGTGTAACAAGAGATTTCTGTTTCCTGGTAATTTTGAATGACAGGATATCCAATAATAAAAAATTACAGTTCTTCCTCCTAGAGGTTTATCATGAAAAATACTCCCAAGTTGTATGGAAAAGGAGAGTACCGCCTTCACTACGAATGTGATATATACGTTTATAAGTCTTTATATATGTTTACAGTCTTGTGCTTTGAAATTGGAATTTGCATGGCCACATGAATGAAGGAGCAGAGACCATTTGCAGGGGAGAATCAGTTGACATGGGGGGGCGGTGGAATCAAAAGCTTCCCTAGTTTGCTGACTGAATTCTTCCCTACAATTGTCAAATGCACAGGTGAAACTCGAAAAATTAGAATATTGTGGAAAAGTTCATTTATTTCAGTAATTCAACTTAAAAGGTGAAACTAATATATGAGATAGACTCATGACATGCAAAGCAAGATATGTCAAGCCTTTATTTGTTATAATTGTGATGATCATGGCGTACAGCTGATGAAAACCCCAAATTAACAATCTCAGAAAATTAGAATATTAAATGAAATCAGCAAAACAAGGATGCAAATAGAGAAATATTGGACCTTGAAGAAGTAGAAGCACGCATATGTACTCAGTACTTGGTTTGGGCCCATTTTGCATCAATTACTGCCTCAATGCAGCATGGCATGGATGCTATCAGCCTGTGGCACTGCTGAGGTGTTATGGAAGACCAGGAAGCTTCAATAGCATCCTTCAGCTCTTCTGCATTGCTTGGTCTCATGTCTCTCATCTTTTTCTTAGCAATGCCCCATAGATTCTCTATGGGGTTCAGGTCAGGCGAGTTTGCTGGCCAATCAGTCAAAGTACCGTATTTTTCGCCCTATAGGACGCACCGTCCCATAAGGCGCACCTAGTTTTTTTGGGGGGGGGGAAATAAAGGGAAAAAAATTATTTCCCCCCCAGGCGCGGGGCTGGGGCAGGGAAGCCCGAGCTTCCCCCGACCCCAGCCCCCAGAACAGGCAACTCTCCGCAAGCTGCGGGAGCCCAACGCCTTCGGCATACAGGCAGCTCTCTGCAATCCGTGGGAGCCAGGTGCGGGCTCCCACGGCTTGCAGAGATCTGCGCGAAGCCTGGAGAGCGAGAGGGGTTGGTGCGCACCGACCCCTCTCGCTCTCCAGGCTTCAGCGAATGCCTGCATTCGCCCCATAGGACGCACACACATTTCCCCTTCATTTTTGGAGGGGAAAAGGTGCATCCTATGGGGTGAAAAATATGGTAATCCCATGGGCATTGAACTAGGTTTTGGTACTTTTGGCAGTGTGGGCAGGTGCCAAAGTCCTGCTGGAAAATGAAGTCAGCATCCCCATAAAGCACAGTGGACCAACAGCAGCTGATGACATGGCTACCCAAATCAACACAGACTGTGGAAACTTCACACTGGACTTCAAGCATCAGGCATTGTGTGCCTCCCCATTCTTCCTCCAGACTCTGGGTCCTTGGTTTCCAAATGGGATGCAAAAGCTGCTCTCATCAGAAAAGAGATTTGGGGAGCCATGTCATCAGCTGGTGTTGGTCCACTGTGCTTCATTAAGTCCAGGGTCAAGGCAGCCGTCTACCAGGAGATTTTGGAGCACTTCATATTTCCTTCCGCAGACGAGCTTTATGGGGATGCTGACTGGTTGGCCGGCAAACTCGCCTGACCTGAACCCCATAGAGAATCTATTTGCAGTCCTTGTTTTGCTGATTTCATTTAATATTCTAATTTCCTGAGATTGTTAATTTGGGGGTTTGCATGTCTTGCTTTGCATGGGTTTATTTATTTATTTATTTTTAAGTGCTTTAAAGTACCCTCTTTCCCAAGCTTCTAAGAGGATGTTGGTAGGACCTTTTCAGTCAAGACCAGCATCCTCCTATCCAAATGTGCATCTTCTGCCATGAGCTTTTGGAAATATGAACAGAATTCATGCTAAGCTACTGCAACATTAACATGGATCATGAGTCCACATTAAAGCTAAAAATTTAGCTGAAACTAAGTTAATTGGAAATTTAATTCTGCACTGGATGAGTCAAGGGGTTAAATGTGGTGCAACCCATTGAACTCAGGGGTGTCTACGTTCAGTTTACTTGATGTACAACTCTAATAAAGTGTTAAGTAAAAAGCCACTAAACGGTATTCTGTTTCATAAAGAGTTCACCAAGAATGCAATTAGAGAGAATAGGAAGTATGTTCTCTCTTTATTAAAAACTACATTCTTAGATATTGGAGATGCTCAGTAAGCACATGAATTCTGTGATTTCATCTCTTTGGGAAGGGTTAGTGAACAGAAAGTATGCATATATAAAATATCACTGTATTTAAAATACACATTTGAATGGCTTGTGTTAATGAGTTCAAATGGTTGTACCAATGACTACCACATTGGCTTAGCTCACATGTAATATTAAGCTATGTTGTGTTTAGCCAGAGTCTGGTTTGGAGTAATGCCTGATCTCAGCCTAGCAGGCCAACTATGGTTTATTTTCCAGCAGCAACCATGATGTGAACCCTTCATTTGCTGTTGGATTACTAGTAGTGGCTTTTTAAATTATGTTTTGGCATTATGTCTGAACCCAACAGCCGTGCTTAAACATGGTCTGTATGACCCCACCTCAGATAATAATAATAATAATAATAATAATAATAACAACAACAACAACAACAATAATAAATTTTATTTATACCCTGCCCTCCCCAGCCAAGACCGGGCTCAGGGCGGCTAACAACCAATAATAAAAACAAGTTGATTAAAATACTATTTAAAAAACAAGATTAAAATACAACATTAAAACATTAGGATGCAGCCTCTTCACAGGAGGAAAAAGGAAAAAGGAAGAGGTGGAGGGAATCAAACTGATTCTAAGCCAAAGGCCAGGTGGAACAACTCTGTCTTACAGGCCCTGCGGAAAGAAATCAGATCCCGCAGGGCCCTGGTCTCATGAGGCAGAGCGTTCCACCAGGCCGGAGCCAGTGTTGAGAAGGCCCTGGCTCTGGTTGAGGCTAATCTAACTAACAAGATGCTTATCATGCTAACAAGGCAGAAGGAAAGAGCATATGGCAAACAAACCAAGCTTTGGGACAACAGTCCACGATCAGTTGGAGCATCTGTGAGATTATTCCTGGAACACTGAACTACGGTTAACACCCAAGGGTTACAACCTGAAAACCTTGAAACATCAAACAAATTTGACACAATGCTTCCAGCAGTTCATGGGCCATACCATGGAGTGTAGCCTATTCTCCAAGAAGCAGCTGTGCTCGGAGAATGGCCAACCTGGATGTGAAATCAACATTCATGTGCCAGTTTTTCTTAGCTGAATTCTAGAGAGAGCAATTCCTGAGTGGCTCTTTACCAGCACTTTGAGACTGTGACAAGTCATCAAAGGTGACATTTGTTTTGCAATTAGGCAGATTGTGGTTGAACTTTTAAGACTTAGGGAGGAATTCAATTTTATTTTTTTATATTACCTTTATATACCAGGGACGCGGGTGGCGCTGTGGGTTAAACCACAGAGCCTAGGACTTGCCGATTAGAAGGTCGGCAGTTTGAATCCCCGCGACAGGGTTAGCTCCCGTTGCTCGGTCCCTGCTCCTGCCAACCTAGCAGTTTGAAAGCACGTCAAAGTGCAAGTAGATAAATAGGTACCACTCCGGCGGGAAGGTAAACGGCGTTTCCGTGCGCTGCTCTGGTTCGCCAGAAGCGGCGTAGGCATGCTGGTCACATGACCTGGAAGCTGTACGCCGGCTCCCTCAGCCAATAAAGCGAGATGAGCGCCGCAACCCCAGAGTCGGTCACGACTGGACCTAATGGTCAGCGGTCCCTTTACCTTTATATACGACCTTTTATCTTCCATCTCAAGGTGGTGTATGTGGTTCTTCTCCTACCCATTTCATCCCCAAAACAACCCTATGAGGTAGATTAGGCTAAGAGATGGTGACTGGTCCAAGGACACCCAGTGAGCTTCACAGCCAAGTGGGGATTCTAATCCTGCTCTCCCAAGTCCTAGTCTAACACTCCAACCATTATGCCACACTGGTTCTCTTCTGAACCTTCCCAACAGCACAAACATTTCAGCTGGCCAGATGAAAGGCTCTTCCCTCTCCTCTCTCCCACAAACTGTTCTGGGGGGTTCTCCTGGCCCTCCGGAGCAGATTTGGGAAGGGGGTGGATTGCAGTGGGAGGCGGGGGAAAACCCATTGTGCTAGCTTCCGCTAACATGCCAGGTTACTTTAACCCAGGCCAATACACTTCCATCTTTCTGAACAGTGTATGTACCTGTTAACGCTTTCCTTGTAACTCCTCTGAAAAGAAATGGCCTTTGTAGTGGCGTCTCTTTATTGCAAGGATGCAGAGGGCCTTCTCGGTAGTGGCGCCCGCCCTGTGGAACGCCCTCCCATCAGATGTCAAGGAAATAAGCAACTACCTAAGCTTTAGAAAGCATCTGAAGGCAGCCCTGTTTAGGGAAGTTGTTAATGTTTGATGTTTTATAGTATTCTTAATATTTTGTTGGAAACTGCCCTGAGTGGCTGGGGAAACCCAACCAGATGGGCAGGGTATAAATAAAAAAATAAATAAATAAAAATAATAATATGTTGTTGTTGTTATGCAACTAAGTACAATACACATCATTTTATTTCACTTTGTGCAACACCTCCCTGTTGGACAGTTGTCCAACAGATTTCCCAATGTTAAGTTCACAGGTTCTCCCGATCTGCAAGCTATCTTATACCTGGTACACTGGAGTGTCGCTGCAAAATTGTGGTACTCTCAGGACCTCCTTGCTCCGAAACTGGACTTCTGGGAGCAGTGCCGCTCTCTGCACTTGAAGAAACCACACCAGATGGAACAGGAGTAGGAAAAAGCCTCTCCAATACCTTCTTTCTGAAAACTAAAAGAAATAAGAAATAAAGTTTATCCATTACAGTTGGTATTTCAGATAGAAGGCCTGAACTTCTTGCACTAAAAACCATGTCACAAACTCCAATAAAAATTAATAATGGGGGTGGGGAGATAGCATGGCAAAAATTGAGGTTACGCTTTGAAGTGAAATTGGAGCGCGGCTGCCCGATGCTCCAGCCGAAGCTATCACCGGAATCTGTTCCCAAACAATATGACATGATCGTAGGAAGTGCAGAACGCATATGGAGAAAATTAGACCCCTGCTTTTCCATTTTCACAAGAAGCAATTACATAAGTGCATTAAATTGCAGACTAAGTGAAGAATGAAGCCACATCTGCTTGCTTCTTTCCACTCTCTATTCAAGAAGCTCTGGCTAGGGAGAAAATTTAGGGATGACCTTTACAGTGCTCAATAAATAGTTCGTGCTCTGCTCATTTAAAGTGCTTCATTGATTTCGGCTGGACTTTACCTTATTTTATTTTATTAAAAAACAACAACCCTGAAGTATGGAAATAGAAAGCCACTGAGCAACTACCTCCAACCATGGTAGCACTTAGCTCACCCCATGATTGGAGTCTACATATGTGTTGCTCACAAAGTTCCAGGTGTCCTTCAGGATTTTATTTTTTTTTTAAAGTCACTACATCTCAGTTTTTGTTTCAACCTAAATGCAGGTTATTGTATTTTAATATTTTGTTGGAAGCTGCCCAGAGTGGCTGGGGAAACCCAGCCAGATGGGTGGGGTATAAATAATAAATTTATTATTATTATTATTATTATTATTATTATGTAAGTACAGCTGTTCCTGCAAAATTCCTGTGCACTTAGTACTAAATCATATTCGTGCTGGAAGCTGATACGCCTTTGTGGGTCATTTTGGTTTCATTAAATGTCAAGGTATGATCATTTGCGGCTTGAAGTTCATCCCAGCTGAAATCCAATGTCTAATAAAAAGGCAGGAGGTGACAGAACAGAATCAGAGTCTAAATCTGTCCAGTGCATATTCACTAGAGTCTTGGTTCTCAACAACTATCAAAGCAAAACAATTTTACACTTACAAGAAACAATGTAAAGAAGACCCAATTTATGTTGTTAGAAAGAGGAAACATTGAAAGAAATTAGTTTTGGTGGTTACAGGAAAAGCAGTGTTTACCCTCCAAACTCCTTTGTGATCTAATAGCAAGGTGGAAAAGTGGCACATCTACGTTTACATAAAATGTATACGAAATCATTGTTGACAACCAGGGTGGATTTGATTTAAATCAAAACAATGTAAATAACAATTTAAATCACTTGCCAGTAAGACTTGATTTAAATCTTTTTTTTTTTTTTTACAGAAAGACTCATTCTTGCTGGTATAATCTTCATATTTACAACCAGATGAAAGTTTCAATTTTGGAATAATCAATTTTCAGAGTAGTTTTTTTTACAGTCATATAAAAATTACTGATTTGGCTATACTATTAGATATACATAGACCGATAATTATGAAATTATTGTGAGGATTAATAAGTTATATTTGGACAACTTTTCTGCTGTACTTCATTGGACAATTTAACAATTTAAACAATTTATTTAACCAAAACAATAACATTACAGCATATGTATCCATGTTTGTTAACTGGTGTGGTTAAACAATTATTATTTTTTTAAAAAAAGAACTTAAAACAAATCCTTATTTCCTGATGAATAGTCTTTGGACCATAATGTAACTTAAATAGAAAACTATCTTTAGAAAGATATGGTAGTTATTTTTCCTCCAAAAGCATTTTATTTTAAAAAATCCAATTTAAATTTAAAAAATCCGATTTAAATTTTTAAAAATCTATTTTCTTATCATTGATTTTTATCCACCCTGTTGACAACTGATCTTCAGTTACTTCTCCTACATGCTATGAAGTTGACATACTATCTCATGTCTGGAGGCTGCAGCAGGGAGCCACAAGGTGGAAATGAAAATTACTTCATTTGGAGATTCCCTATTAGAACCGTTTTTATGGGATCAGTTGTGCTTGTGTTTCATGGGCACTCTTGCAGAATCAAGGAAACCCATTTTCACCAATGCATACACTTACGACTGCTTGTGCAGAGTTGCGACCCGAGTATCAAACCACTTGATAGCTTGAGAATGTTCATTGCATTAATCAAATCAGATGGCAAAGAAATCAATGGCCTTTTAATGACCATGGAAAAACTATCCCTGCTCACACACCCACACCCAAAGGGCAGCTTCAGAATCAGATGTCAGCTTCTAAGAAACAAGGAACCCCCCCAGTCTGCTTTTCAGCGGTGTATTATTCTTCAGCACACTGCCAGGAGGAGCTAGAAATGCATACACTCTGGGTGTGCTTTTGCAAGCATGGAAAGGGGCAAAATGCCAACAATGAAAGCAGACTTGGCCATTCTGAACACATAGTTACACCTACCCTGGGACACGCAGGGTTGAAAGGAGAGAAGATTACATTTCAATTGGAAACTCAAGTCAGCTTGCATTCTCTGAACTGATATCTTGATGAATGCCACTGCAACCTTTCTCAAATTGGAATTTTGTAAAATAAAAATAAATGGGGCAGAGACTTCTCCATATTAAAAGCAAGATGGGCAAATGAGAGAGAATGCGCCCATTTTCTTTGGAAGGTCAGCAGAAGTATTGTACTATGGAAATTAAAAACTGCTGAGGAATTCTGGACTTTTTACATTGAACCACCTGAAGGCTACTCTTACAGCCTGCATCATGGCCAACATCAGTGTAATGTAGGCCGGATTAAGACAGCATTGCTAACGTTTTCTGCTGTACTTTATTGGAAAGAGAAAAATAATCATTTCATTAATAACAATTTAAACAATTTATTTATCTAAAACAATAACATTACAGCATACAAGGTACCATTAACCCACAAATTCACAGGAGTTTTATGCTGTAATTTTCCCTTGGTTTTCATTGATCCCCCCCCCCCCCCCGCACTTCCCAAGTCACTCCCATGATGAAATTTAGAGCAGTAAAGTTCTGTTTTCATGAGTGAATCATGGGGGAAACGGAATTGTTCATTAGTAAAACAACAACAACAGGGATGACATGCCTGCTGTTGTGTCACACCACATCTAGGAGTGATGCGGATGCAATTTAGCATGACATGGTGGGGTGCCGATGAAAAAGCTGCAGTTCCCTAATGCAGCTGGTAATGCAGTATATAAAAGGGACCTTAGAAACTGGGGAAACAGAGGAACTAGCATTATAAACAGGAAAACTAATGCAGTATTCCCTGCATCTGAATGTACTTTTAGTTGCAATCCTACGGACTCTCAGCAGCAATCTAGAATGCAAAACAATAGCTGTGAAAACAAGTCACACCACAAGTTACTGCACCCCTGGCAACTACACCATCATTTCTATGTCTTATGCTAATAACCCATACAAACCATACACCAAATGTGCTAATCAGCATGCAGCTGACAGCAGGAACACTGCAATGACATCACCCTACCATTCACCCAAGCAACACGCAAGCAAGGTCCCAGTCGGATAAGGAGGCAGCCAAATTTATAAAGCCAGAAACTGCAGGGCTCCCCTCACACAGAGAAGTTTGAACCCCAAGCAGCAGCAGCAACCCACAGAAAGCCACTCTTATGCCAGGTCAAGACACAGAGGTAAGGCTTGCTGTTCTATTCACAGTCCGCCAACTACATAGGCAATGGAAAGGAGGAAGCCTGCATGTAGTGCCAACACCTCCCCTAGGCAAAGGTTCAAGGCCTTTCCCTGGGAACAATGCCTCGCCAACGCACAACGTACCCGATGTATGAGCAACAGTGGTGCCCTGGTGAGGGCAACAAGCATTTTGCAAGGGGAAAGGAAGGGAGCCATTTGGGCAAGGAAGAACGCACACGAAACAGCAGGCTCGCAGGAAATGAGGCCAAGTTTTCCAACAGCTCGGTGGAAGCTGTGCAACATGGGTTTTGTTTTTACAAAGATGGAAATGCAAGTTCTACAACACAAAGCCTACAATGGGGTGTGGGGAGGCGTCTGGTAAGAAGCAGCAATATTGTAAGGAAGAAGGAAGGACACATCGACAGAGCAACAGGTTATGCAAGACAACTCTAGATCTCAAAAAACCCAAGTTGTGTCAACATCTAATCTCCAAAGTAAAGGTTTTCCTAGCGTTAATAAAGTTGTCTTACACATATTGAGCAAGATGTGCAACCGCATAAATTATAGGAGCTACAACGAAAGATAGGATAGCTTATTTACTATTACGCAGGACAAGGTTTCCTCCCACAAAGTGCTTTTACATGAGACATACAAATATTAGTACTGAACTTCCTATAAGCATCACTCAAATATTTGTCCACTTCCTATTCATATGCAAACAGAAAGCAACATCAACAGTGCTCTACAAAATTAGGTAAAGGTAAAGGGACCCCTGACCATTAGGTCCAGTTGCAGACGACTCTGGGGTTGTGGCTCTCATCTCGCTTTATTGGCCAAGGGAGCCGGCACACTGCTTCCGGGTCATGTGGCCAGCATGACTAAACCGCTTCTGGCGAACCAGAGCAGCGCACGGAAACACTGTTTACCTTCCCGCTGGAGAAGTACCTATTTATCCACTTGCACTTTGTGCTTTCGAACTGCTAGGTTGGCAGGAGCAGGGACCAAGCAATGGGAGCTCACCCCGTTGCGGGGATTCGAACCGCCGACCTTCTGATCAGCAAGCCCTAGGCTCTGTGGTTTAACCCACAGCACCACCCACGTCCCTCTACAAAATTACATGGTGCTTAAAAGAAAAGCCGGGCTAGGAAAACAAGCATCAACCTACCAAGCTTTCTTCTCTTACAGACACAAAAGTCACTGGAATCTTTTTTCGGATAAAGGGACAGCAGGGGGAGAGAACAAGACAACGATTCCGACACTTTGACAATATGCAGCATCAAGGATGTAATTTAATTGAAAGCAATCAAGATACAGGAAGGTTCTGCAAAGAAAAGGATTTGGAAAAAAGTGATGATGGGGAGGAGCAGTGTTGTTGACTGCAAGACAAGTTTGAAGGCTGTGCAAAATATGGAAAGCAACATTGGAGGCAGAAAAGGAGCAATGGCAAAAGGAGACCAACAGCAGGCGCCAGTATTTATTCTCCTTATGGGGCAAACAGCAGCTGAGAAAGGCGATTTTGACCGGGAAAATTGTGCAGGGATAGAAGGCTTAATCCCCTGCCTGCCAACAGAAGCCAATTTGCCAGCTGCATTTCTGAAAGAAAAGACACTAAGAAATACGAATCATTAATCTCCAACGCAACATGCACTTTAGCCTTGTTCCACCAATTTCAGTGGAAAAGTTGAACCGGACCCAGGAGCCAGTACATACCGATGCATAACCTTGCAGCCTACCTGGATTCCTCTGGCAGACTGAAGCTCAACATCTGCTTTCCCATCCTTAATCATTTTGCTATGCACTAGAATTAACATCTTCATTTTGTCAAACCTGCAGGGCTCATTCTTGCTATGCTTCTTAATTCTCAGCACATTCTGGCTGCACATCAGCTCCCCACCCCACTTCTTCCAGAGAAGCTAAAGTTACAACAGTCACATTCTGTAGCTCCTACTGTTGAAGTCTCCTCTTCGATTGGCTCAGGACTATATAAAACATGATTCCTATGCCGCTTTTCTGGCCTGTGCATAAGTAATCTTGAAATAAGAGTTGTCCCAAGCATTCCAACCACCTAGATTGCTTCAAGTCACCAGAAGAGATATGCGGCCATATTTAAATGACTTATGAGCTGTCCACAGGGTAAATATTCTGGCAAGTAAACAGGAGAAAAACTTACTACAGCCAATGATTTCATGTGTGCGCTGCAGGATATTTATGCTTCTGTTCAGAAAGTGTTACGTCGGCATAATCAGCTATTACTCTGTCACCCTCCAAGCATCTCTGGGAGATTATGACTTCAGTTCCTTTCTCACTGGAGCCACAGTAAGAGTACTCTCTGAAGATCAGAAAAGGCAACTCTTGGAGCAGTAACCCAGTGCACTTCAATTTCTGGAAAGACTTGAGACAGACTTCAAACAGTTCAGTTTTTTAGATTAATGAAGATATATACACAGGGGTGAGCTCCCGTTGCTCGGTCCCTGCTCCTGCCAACCTAGCAGTTCGAAAGCACGTCAAAGTGCATGTAGATAAATAGGTACCACTCCAGCGGGAAGGTAAACGGCGTTTCCGTGCGCTGCTCTGGTTCACCAGAAGCAGCTTAGTCATGCTGGCCACATGACTCGGAAGCTGTACGCCGGCTCCCTTGGCCTATAAAGCGAAATGAGTGCTGCAACCCCAGAGTCGTCCGCAACTGGACCTAATGGTCAGGGTTCCCTTTACCTTTTATACACAGAAAGGTGATGGACGGAAGATGAAGGGCCATGTCTGAGGGACAAGGGATAGGGAATCTCCCAGGGTGGGAGGCTGGGGGAAGCTACCAGGTGATTGCTGGAAGGGTTCGCTGTGTGTGGGGGGGGGGAATAAGGGTTAAGACATAATTGTGACAGAGGGGATTGTATTTATGTTCTGTTTTTTTCTCTCTCTTCTTCTTTATTTTCTTCCTTTTCTTATTCTTGCTCTCCCCCCTTATTTTTTCTAGGTTAGTTTGGCTTTTATTGTATTTTACGTCAACAACTTTTAATAAAAAATGATTATTTTTATTTTTAAAGAGAGATACTTCAAACCATGCCCAGAATTAGCCCCTGGCAAAGGTGGGCAACTGTCAAGGTCCACACGCCAGGATTTTCTTTTTAAATATATATAAACCTAAATGTAAGACCAGCGCTAAAAAGAAAGCATCAGTCCAACAGGCTGTCATCTTTTTTCTTACCCAAGTACCTCTGAGCCTTACGCACACTGCAGCTATACTATATTGGGGTCAGAAGCATTTGTGGCAGAGATGCTGGCAGCTGCTAAGGAGTCAAGACAGCCCATCTCCTTTCAATTCTGGATACTGAAAGCACGCAGAGGATTTGGGCAAGCCTGGTTAGAGTTCCTCTGGGGCCAGGTCTGCATTTTCTTTTTTCTTTTACTGGTGCACCATTGAAAGGAGACCCTATAGTCAGGTCAGTCTTCCACACCACCCAGCTCACTTGGGGTGGGATACTGGACTGCCGCAGTGGTGGCCTGGGAGAGCATCTGTCAGAAAGACACAATGAAGGTTAGGACTGCCCCAGGTGTGATGGAACATGTTGATATGGAAGTACTTGGACACTGCAGGAAACCTAGCCTTGTAATCTACCAGAACTGGCTTATTTTCATTGCCTACAAAGGATAATAATTTCAGATATATACATTACTCTACAAACAACTTCTTTTGCACACAGCCATCACAAGCACACACTTCTGTGTAGCCAAAATGTATCTCCCCTCCCCGCCAAAAAGCTATGGGCAATAGCCACCTAAGTCCTACTCATGTCCAGTCTATTGATTTCACTGTGTCTACTCCAGCTATGATTAACCATTGAGTTTCATCCATTTGTAACGCCACCATGAGATCTTTGATCTCCCATCGTGCAATGTTCCCATTTTTCTTCTGAGCTTCATCTCCACACAATTGGGAGAAACTTCCCCAGCCTTGTTTTAAAACGCAGATCCTGATCCAAGCCCCACATTATTCTAAATGCACAGCATGCAATTATGTGTGTGGGTTCTTCCCTCGCTTATTTAATTACAGGTATGGGAGGATGACTTTTGTTCTCTGGAACTGCAGTATGAGGGGAAGGGAATTTCAACCTTAGTGGCCTCAGCTGTGAGTTTAATGACCCCCCCCCAAAAAAAACCTATGACGCTCAACAGCAACAAAGCTCCTACTGGCACCAATGTTCCTACCTCCCCCAATGCCTTATAGATGTATGTGTTTAGAAACTGGACTCTGTGATGGAAGTGAGTTTGTTTTGTTTATTTGCTGTTGTTATTATTGTTGTTGTTGTAGCTGTGTTCTGCATGAAATTTAAAATAAAGATATATCTTTTTCAAACAAACATGTGTATTTGCACCAGGATTGTAGTGTGTGTGTGTGTGTGTGTGTGTGTGTGTGTGTTAGATCTCTCTTCCCCTCACACTATGATCTCAAAGAACAGTCTGCTACCTGTACAGTGCCTGCAATTAAATAAGGAAAATAATAATAATAAAAATAATTAATTTTTATTTATACCCCGTCCTTCCTGGTTCAGAAAACCGGGCTCAGGGCAGCTAACAACAAATTTAAAACACTTAATTGTAATACAACATAGAAGCAGCATAAAATACAGTATGAAAGCATGAACAACAATAAAATTCAAAGTTCAAAAATCAATTTGGGGAAAATCCATCCAATAAACATTAGATAATCACCAGGGCTAGCTGGTCCTACTTGGGCCAGCAAGGAGGCCAGGGGAGAATTAGCTGTGGGGTCTCAGAGCGGGTAATCTTCATAAAAGGGGAGGGGGAGGGAAGAGAAGGGAAAGGAAATAAAAGATCAGACTGAATTCAAATTAAAGGCCAGGCGGAATAGCTCTGTCTTACAGGCCCAGCAGAAGGAGGTTAAATCCCGAAGGGCCCTAGTCTCATGGGACAGAGCATTCCACCAGGTCGGAGCCACCACTGAAAAGGCCCTGGCCCTGGTGGAGGATAGTCTGATTTCCTTAGGGCCCGGGACCTCTAAACTATGGTTATCCATGGACCTTAAGGTCCTCTGTGGGGCATACCAGGAGTAAATAAAAGACATTGGGTGTTGCATGCTGCACATTTAACATAATATATAGTGTGGCCCTAAGTAGGCCACCCTTAGCAATCACAATGGTTCAGATAACCATAACACCATAATGGCCAAGCACTCACATATACACACAGCTCTATGATGCTCTGTGTTTTGCTTCTCTCCCATACCTGCCTGGAAATAAATACCTCCACCAAGGAAGAACGGTTACACTTCATGCCGCAATGCCCTCATATGCATTACTGATGCTTCAATTTTGTCAAATGATAGGAATGCATTTCCCAACTATAGTGATGTATGCTCCCGAGTCCACTACATCTGGAGTGCTCCCAGTCTCCCCAGGCTGTCCCCAGGTTGTCTTCCCACACCACAACACTTTTTATACTTCCATATTATGAGTCTAGAAGTTAGAACAACAGTACACTGGGAACGGTCCTCTCAGTTTACTAAACAGACTTTTATTAATGGAATCCTGGTTTGCTGCCATGTCCAGGTGATGCAGGCCAGTTCACGCCAAGGTGCTTCCCACCTGTGGCTGGAATGCCAACTCCGCTTTGACAGGTACTTTTACGAATCTCTGAAAACATTTGATGCATTATTTGGAAAATGAGGAAACAACAGACAGACTTCCCCATACGGGACACCGGCTGCACATTCCTGCATTGCAGGGAGCTGGACTAGATGATCCTCAGGGTCCCTTCCAACTTGATTCTATGTGACTTCCATCCAAGACCACCAACTCACAGCATTTTCTCAGCACTCAACGTCCACCTTTTGCTTCAAGGCTTCCCAGAACTCTTTAAGGTTCTTTCCCTCGAACAACCATTTTCCTTTTTTTTAAAAAAAATGCTTTTTATTAAGTTTTCATTTCAAATACACCAACACCAACAAACAAATATTTCAAGTCTTTTTACATCTGTCTTTATGTAGAGCCATTGACTTCCCTCCTTCCCTTCCGCAGGTTTTCTTATTCCAATCCTTAATTCACAGTTCCTTAATAAAAAACTAAACCATGACATAAGATTTATTTCAGTCCTGCTAACGTATTCAAATTTCTACAGTTCTCACTTATATAGACCATAAATTTACTCCATTCTTGTTGGTACTTTGTTTCCTCCTGACTGCGAATCCTGTGTCAGTTTTGCTAATTCCGCGTACTCGACCAACTTTGTCTGCCGCTCCTTTACAGTTGGTATCTCCTTGTGTTTTCCACTTTTGGGCTGTCAAAACTCTGGCAGCTGCCGTAGCATACATATATAATCTTTGGTCCGTCTTCTTAATATCCTCTCCTATCAAACCTAGCAATAGTTCTTCAGGCTTTTTTTGGGAAAGTATATTTAAACATCTTTTTAAATACATTATAGATCAATTCCCAAAACTCTTTCATTTTATCGCATGTCCACCACATGTGGTAAAAATCACCATCCTTTTCTTTACATTTCCAACAGATTTTACTACTCGTCCTATACATTTTTGCTAGTTTGACAGGTGTTAGATACCAGCATCTAATATCTATCTGCACGAGCCATTTTCCAACCAATTCCTCAAGTCCAACATCGACAGAGACGGGTCTGCCTGGGAATCCCAGGAGCTTCGCACAACTTCACGGAAGCCCGGTTTTCACCTGTCAGCCGTCGCAGCCCCCGGCCGGTTTCCTTTGCCAGCCGATCGCAGGTTGGGAGTCCCTGCAAGCCGCTTGAATTCTCTCTCACTCACACGCGCGCACTATCGCTTCTTGGAGACTTCCTGGGAATCCGCCCCCCCCCCAACGTCCTTAGTCCCTGGCAAGCTTTTAGAAGCCCATGCCTGCCGGCAGCTCTAACCCCCATCACCCCCACCCCTGGAATCGCACCCAAAGGTGGCCCCACTTAAACTAGACTTCACCGCCCTCCTCGGAGCAATAACCCAGCCAGAGATCTCCCTTGCCTAGAAGCCGAGGCCACAATCTGTTCCCCATCTTGCATGCACATGCAGCCATTTCCCCTTCCGTGCTCTGGCCCTCACCTTCCGTCCTCCTGCTGAGAGCCATCCTGCAAGGACAGCGCGCGCGGAGAATCCCGTGCAATGCGCTCTCCTTATCCTGCTTGCAAGAAGCAGCTGCTGCTCAGCGCGCTCCGCTTCCTTGAACAACCCGTCCCCGCCCTCCGGCTTCCTCCTTCTTTGGCTGAGGGGCGTGGCCAGCATCAGGGGAACCGGCTCTCTATTGGTCCGGGGCGCATGGAGCGGGGCGGTCTCCACGCAGCCGGCGTTCGAATCGCGGAACAGGCCTCCCCCCCGCTCCGTCTGACCCGCCCGTGCCTGGGACAGAGCCATGCCGCGCCTTCTGGGAGGGGCGGGAGAGAGCGCGCGCGCGCCTGCGCGGAGCGTGAGAATTCCGCCTCGAGGGCGGCTTGGACAGCGGCGGCGGCGGCGAGCGAAGCTCAGCGCAGCAGTCGCTTAAAGCAGCGGCAGCAAATAGCAGCACCACCTCATGGACAGCGGGAGAGAGAGGGAGGGAAAGGAAGGGGAATGAACAGTATTAAGCAAGCCGCTGCAGCAGCTACTTTAGCGCGCGCGGGTTTGTGTGCCTGAGGGGAACAAGCCCAGAGCCAACGCGGGAGATATAATGTCCTACCTCACGCCGCCGCCTCTCTCCCGCCAACATCCCTCGGCCACCTCGTCCCGCTGCTGCCCCGGCTTCTCCTCCGCCCGGCTCGCCGAGCCCAGCATGCACCCCGCGCTCTGCTAAGCCAATAGTGCCCTAGAATGTCAGCGCTGAAAAAGGTAAGGGCGTCGAGGGTCGGTCGGTGGGGCGCGGGGAGGGGAGGGAGGGAGGGAGAGAGAGCAGGTAATGGTGGAGTCCCGCCCGGGAGAAAACGGGGTGGGGGTAAGGGAAAAGTGGAGGTGCCCCCCGAGCGCCCATCCCCGGCGCAACCTGGACTGAGGGTGCGAACGAGCCGGCAAGCATCCCGGACGGCGCTGCAAAACTCCGTGGGAGCGGGAGGCGAGGGAAACAGCTGGTGGGGTTCCAGCTGCGGGGGGCGCGAGGATTGAGTCACGCGGGGGGGGGGGGAGTGCGGAGCTGTGAGAGGAACCGGCGCTGTGCCGTCGCTGCCGCCGGGCTTTGGCTCGGCGTGCATTCCCTCGGTGCTGTCCGCTTGGGGTTGTTTCAGTGAAACGGTGTATTGGTGCGGGGGGGGGGGCGAGGGGGAAGAGATGTTGCCCCGGCTTTGCCTCGCTTTTCTCCCCTCCACGCGGCAGCCTGCCGTGCGAGGGTTGCCGTGGGCTGGAGACGCAGCTGCTGCGGGGGCTGCTCCTCTCCCGGTTGGGGGGGGGCGAGAGGAGGAGGAGGTGGCGGCAGCGGGGACGGTCGCTTTAGTGGGGGCTGCGGTTATTTCGGGTCGGGGGGGGGAGAGCCACTCCTGAGTTTTGGGGGGGGGGTTGCTGGGGGTGGGAGTCGCCCCGGGAGTCCTGCTGGGCTGTGTGGGCACAACTCCTGCAAGCGGCTTTTTTGGGGGGGGGGAGGTGAGGGGTGCACATTTTAGGGATATTCTAGGCGCTTCTGGTGTAACCCATCTGTGGTTGTGGAAGGAGCAGCTTTCGTTTGGGGGGGCTGTTGGGGGGCAACTACAAAAGAGGAAGCAGCAGTGGGGCAGGAGTAATGAATGGAAGAAGACAGTTCGAGGGTTTTTGGGGTGAAAGATTGGGGGGAGAGAGGCCCCGAAATTAATGCCGAGGGACGTGGTTTTTTTGGGGGGGGGGCTGTTGAGGCAACTTGGGTGATGGGTCGGAAGCGAGGCCCCTCCAAGCACAACCAGACTTAACAGTGACTAAAAACGCTGGTGTGACATTTTGTGAGTTGGGGGTGTCTCTCGTCACCCAAAACTGATTCGTTTCTTGGGGGGGGGGATTAGTGTTGCAGTGACAGTCTGGGTACACAGGGTGTGTGTGTGACCTCCAAGAAATAACGTGGTGGGCTTTTAAGCTGCTGCTAAGGTGTATGTGGAGTTTCTTAAACGAGGGAAAGATGGAGGATGCGGAGGTAACTTCTGGGGGTTTGCAGAGGTACCTGGAAGGGTGGAAGTGAGGTATCTCGCCCCCCAGGATCAGTTGGGGGGAAATGAGGGTCTTGATGCAACATTGTGCGCCCCTGATTAGGGTGTGTGTCTCTATCCAAAATAATCGGGGGGGGGGCTGGCTGAGGATGTGGAGATGCTTCTGGGGTGGTGGTTATAAACGAGGGAGGGGGGATTATTGGGACCGAGGTGCCTGTGCATCTGTGGAGTGTTCTCTTCTCTAAGTAGGGAGAAATAAATAAGAGGGATGGGGGTGCTGGGGCGGAGAAGGTCGAGTTCATGTGTGAGGCTGCTGGCCCCCCAAGCGCAAAACCGGGGATGGCACCAGGAAGGTGTCGGGCCGAGAGGGACGTGTGCGCGGGCGCGCGCGCTCTGTGTTCCTCCTGCTGCTGCGGTCCAATGCGCCCTTGCTGGAAGAAGCTGTGCGCCTCGTTGCTCCAGGCAGCGCCGAGCGCCGTCCTCTACTACTGCTGGCGCGAGCTCTCTCCGCTTGCCTCGCGTTTCCTTGGGCGGGGGGCTCTGGTTGTGGAAGCGGAGGGGTCTGCCCGACCAGCTTCAATGCAGAAGAAAGAACTCGAGAAACTCCGTGCTTCGCAAGGCATGACAGGGTGCTTTTTATTTTTTTTGCTTTTTTTGGACGCGCTTAAGTACAAATTGAGAACGGTGCAGCTCCGTGGCACCAAGCTGAAGCTCAGCGAAAGGAGCGCTACCTCGTGAGAAACCCAGGGCAATGGGGACACACGTACATGCACGTGTGTGTCAGCGAGATTCGTGGTGCCTTGAGGCAGCAGGGGCGCCCGGACAAATTGCACCCTCACCTCCCGCAGGCAGAAGAGGCAACCGGCGACTCCTCTCTTTTTAATTTTTTTTTTTTTTTAAGGCTGATTTCGGAGGGCGTTGGAAGGGTTGCTTTGCCAGAAAAAAGCTGGCAAACTATTGTGGAGCGGGGGGGGGGGAGTGTGTGCTATTAACCGCCTCCTCCCTCCACCTTCAGTGCTCTCTCTATCTCTCTACACACAAAATGCATCGTCTTCTGCTCCTGTTGTTCCCTTAGCAATGCAAGCAAGCATGAATCCTTCAGGAGGGCTTGAAATGGGATGTCAGAGCCTGGGCTTGAAGGGTTTCCAGATAGAGATCCCTTCATCTCGGCTTGCAGCCTTCAAACCCGGGCTCGCTCTCCAAGGCAAGGAGCCAATCCCACGCGCGTCCTTTCCCCGAGGCATTGCCCAAGAACCGCGCCGCTTGGTCCCCCCACCCACCCTCACGCTTTGCGGTAGCCGAGCTGCGGGGAAGAGTTTCGCGGTGGCGAGGAGTTCCTTTGATTCCTGCGCGGGCGGCTGCGTCCTGTGTGCGGAAAGCAGCTCCGCGCCAAGGCAAGCGGGTTCACACGGCGCGCACGTCTGCGATTCAGGGCGAAGGTGAGGCCCCGGCGCCTCCATCCTTGGCAGAGCAAGGCTCGCAATCCCGCCGCGAACTTTGCGCGGCTCTTCCCCCAAAGCGAAAGAGCAGGACCACAAACTCTCGCTTGTTGTCGGTTTCTTTACGGAGTTCGGAGACAGAAATAATCCAGCGCTTGTGACTCAAATCACTTGCAGTAAAGTGGCGTGGCTAACATGGCCTGCAAGTTATAAGACAATACTGTAATACATCTTGATCTCCCAGCAGGGACAGCCCTCTTCGCCCTCTTCTCCATGGGGGGGGGGGGAGTCAGAACAATGAGGAGCCTCTCTTTTCTCACACTACTTATTGGAGGAGTACTTTTTTCCATATAGGACTTCTTGGGATTGAGTGGGTCACATAGCACGTGTTTAGAAGAACCAAGAGTGCTGGCAGTTCAGGAAGAAGTTGCTAATGGGGTAGGGGGAGTTGCTGATGCAGCATTGAAATTGTCCTTTGGTGATTTCAGGTGACTCACAGTCCGGCATTGTTAGGAGTCAGAGTAGCATTATACACCATGTAGCATTTTCAGTGTTAAGAGACACAAAACAGGGCAAAATTGGCTTGATGAACAAAGCATTGGTTGCGCCTCAAATTTCAAAATGCCCATAGAAAGAGAGAGTGCAGACATTTTTTGATCGTGAAACAGTGAGGTTTTAGCTTCACTATGATGGCTACTCATGGTTTTTCATAGCATTGTGACACTCCAAAGTTCAGAGTTTAAACTGGGTCTGAATGGAATGCTTTTAATATATTATGGTCTAGACACCAATTGTTTGACCAGCTTCCTGTTTCCTGCCTGAGAGTGGCAGGTTAATCATGGTCCTAGAGGGCCACTGTACGTAGCAGCTGGGTTGTGTTCACCTTGATAGGTCACAAGTTGTGAAATGCCTACTTCATACTAAGGGGGCGTTACAATTTTCATCAGATTTATATTTTTTTCCTGTTGATTTTTTTAAAAAAACCATTTTCATGCCTATGTTCCCTGGCTTTGTTATGACTTCCTCAACTAACCACAAACACCTCCATAAGTACAGTAGACTCCATAAGTCACATTCTGAGACAGATGGAGTTAATGTAACCTAGATAGAAGAAATGGAACTAAATGTGTGTAACCCCATTTCTGACATTCTCCATTATCTACCTCTGATTCTCACATTATTCTCATTCCAGCTATAGAATTCTAAACTGTAAGAAATTCCTTAGTTCTTCATTGTTCAGGGCCCTAGTTACTTCATGCATGATAGATGTGCAGACAAATACTATGCATTTTCACTGAGAAGTCCCACAGAATTCACTTTTTTCACTCAGCAGTTGTCTGTTTCACTCCCCATGTGAGCTGTTACTTCCTGACTAAAGCAATTTCAACGGGAACAACCATCTTCTATTGGATTGCAAGTGAATGTATAGCTCTTGTGTTCAGGAAAGATCACAACTGGTGTGTTTTCAATAGTCCTGTAGCTGCTGCTATATGTAACAAATGTTATAATGACATTTGAATTGCACTAAATATTCATCTTGGGAAAGAAGTCTCCCACTCACATTCAGCAGCATTTTAAGACTTCCAGATTTCTCTGTCTTTAAGGTTGGAGTTTGCAAGTATATCATGATTTATGACTCATTTATTCCAATGCATTGTTCAGCATTGAACTAGCTTGTATGTAGTGATTTGGAGACATATACAGTTATTTATCAAAGATCTAATTCTGGCACTAATTTACTTAGCACTACTTTTGCTTTCTAGAAGTGCTTGCATTAGTTTTACAGTGCAATGCTAACCATGGCTGTGTGCGCAT